GGCAATTACTGATCCTATCCTAGCGTGGCTGCAGATGCTATTCTGATTCATGGAAGTGTCTAACTTTACCACAGTTCTCACAACACTGTGAATACTTCAGGAATGGAGCTTCCTGCTTTAAAAAAACAAGAATGCAAGTCTTTTGGCACACCTCCAGTTTCCCCAACATCAACTTATTTTGACCAAGAAAATCAGGTAAGGAAAATGCTCTCTGTACTACAGAGGACCCATTTTAGTGATGTCTACAAAATAGCCATTACATGGGAAAACAAAATCAAACCAAACCTACCTGTCAACTTCACTGCTTGTTGGCCGAGCCACCTTGGCTCCTGAAGATCCTAAAGTGTAATTTTCCTGTCCTACAGAACCATGGCCTGTGGTATCAATTACCATGGCTGTTACTTCCTCTGCACTACTCCCATCTTCTCCAGAAGGCTGATTCTCAGGCCCAAGCCACTCCTCCAGATTTTCAGTTTTGATGTGTACTGCTCCAAGAACTCTAACTTCATCATCACTCCGACCCCCACGGTCTGCCACTCCTGTCTCCACATACCACTGTCCTGCTCGGTTGATCCGAAGAATGGGCTCCCGGCTCTCTACATCAGAACTTGGTTCAATGATCTGAGGGCTGGTGGACTCCTCAGGAGGACTTAGCTCTCTGATATCCAGCACAGCACTAACCTGACCTCGCCGGTTTCCCTTTGGGGTATTATGTCGTGGGCTAAGGGAGCGGTTGAGATTTGGTGTAACCCTGTGAGACTCTGGAGGTCTCTCTTGATGCTTTGTCCTTGTTTGACTTAATTCTGCTTCAACCTCAGATACATTAATTTTGAAATGAATGCCCTCCAGGATCTGTGTACATTTGTCTATAATATGCTGCATCTGCAGAAAACTGGCAGCTGTTAGGTAGCTGATGATATCTGCCAGTTGCAGGCATATCCGCCCTGTGTAACAGAAAGAAAGGAGCTGTTCAAAAACAGTAGGGTTCTTGATGACTGAAATGGAGACTGTACTCATCTCATTCAAGGACATGTGATCCCGGAAATAGGGGGAGCTGGCAGCCAGCACCACTTTGTGAGCCCGAAAAGCTTGTCCTTGCACATTGACCACAATATCACAGAGACGGCCCTGCATGCGCAACTGGTTTAGATGGCTCAAGACAGAGTTGCTGAAGTCAGGAATCTCCAATTGTATGTTCCCACCTTTCTCCATGATCGTGCCTGAGGGTACATTCAACCCTGCTGAAAAAAACCATATTCTCATTAATAATTACAATTTTACTTCTGGGACGTTTTCAATTTCAAAAGTATTTAAACATAGTTATCTGGTAAAATTTCAAAATTTTCAGGTAAAAGAAATACCTTCCTTATGTTTAGATGTGGAAACAGAACTACCAACAGGTTTTTTAGTTTAAGTTTCACAGGATTATACAGTTAAAACTAAAAAGTGATCTGCAGACTCCTAAAAATTCATGTTATGACCATGCTTTCCTTACTAATAAGGTATATAACATCAAAATAAAGTTCAACAGAAGGTAGTGGGAAGGACTTTTAAGTGTTAACTATAAGGTACTTGCAGACTGAACATGAAATCTCATAACAACTTTACAACTTTTCTCTGGAGGAGGAAAGCTTTCTGAATAAATGCAGTTCTACACAGATGGCTTGATATCCGTCTTAGTATTCTACTACCTGCTGTAAGAATTACTATTTTATAAAGGGACTAATATTACACATGAATGTAGGCTTTGGTTATAGGGCTGTGAGGCAAACTCCAGGTTAGGAAAAATCCCAGTTGTGCCAGGATTCAACCACGATGCAGAGAATGTGAAGTTCAGTTGTCAAAATTAGCAAAGCTGGGTATCTGCCAAAATTGACGTTGGCAATTTCAAGGTGGTGATGATACTTCCATCCTGAAACTTAGTTCTCCAGATTCGATGAAAAAATACAGCATTGACCAAGTACGCCCAACATTTTTCCATTAAAATATTTTTTAAAAATGGTTGAAACACTAAACCTGAAGCTGTATACAAGAGAGCTGAAAGTACAGTTTCAACTACTGAAAGTAGTTTGTATAAATCCGAAGAGGAAGACATTTACTTGAGCCCAATGTGCATCCATTTATCTATATATTACATAGTTACACCACACCTGAAACTTCAGGAACTTATTCTGCCAAGTTCACAGTATTGCCCCGCATTAACAACACACTTATTAAATAGGGAAGTGTATACACTGTTTTCAACAATCAACTTTAGCCAATCTGACCTTTTTCCAAAGCGTTATTGTTTGTTTTGAAACTTTTAATCCAATAAGAGCCTCTGTCGATGCCATCATGAATTCAGATGTGTTTATTTTGGAGCCTACACCAGCGCCTTTTTTGTTTGCTCTTTCCGGCAATTCCCCAGTGAGGAAGCCCCTGGAGTAAAGTCTGTCGCTACCGTCGGCACTGGAGGGGTGAGAGCTGTAAGAGGGAGAATTGGGAACGGCATGGGGTTGGCCACTCCAGCACTTGAGCAGTTTTCTTCTGCGTTACGAAGCATGGGGAGAGGGGAACTAACTAAAGGGCAAAATGTCACTGAGGAACTTTGGAGAAGGGGGGGACAAGACGTTGGGCGGGGGAGCCAGCGCTCAGGTGAGAACCAAGAAGGGGGCGGCGCCCGGGGACCGGCTCCAGGCTGCGGCGGGCTGGGAGCCGCCGGGAGGTGGGCGTGCGTATCTGGGTGTGTCCCGTCTGCGGTGGGGGAGGGGGAGGGGGCCACCCATCCCGGGGTCCTGAGGGAGGGGCCCCGCGAGGGGGCGGGTCCGGCAAATCAGCCCGGCCGGGGGCCAAGGGGGTGGAAGGTCGCCCGGTGCCTGGAGGCGGCATGAAGGAAAGTAGCTGAGCGCCCCAGGAGCGCGCTGCGGCGGAGGGCGGGCGAGGTGACCCCGGTGCAGGGAAGTGGCACTGGGGTGTGGGGCCCGAGTCCAGTCAAGGAGCAGCACCTACCTCCGGGGGTGGAAATGGGCCGGAATGGGCCGGAACACCGTCCCGGAAGTGAAACCCCCCACCCCCTCCCACGGAGCGGGCGACGTGCCGGAAGGAAATCACTCAGCCTTACACCGCCCCCCTTCCCCCACCCCCAGAGCTTTCCTTGCCTCGCGCCCCCTCCCCTCTCTGCTCTTCCTCCTCAGTCGGGAGGAGGACGGGAGCACGGCGTCACGTGGGCGGTCATGTCTCCGCCCAAAATGGCGAGGAAGGGCGGGGAAAAGGGGCGGGCTTAGGGGGCGGGGAAGAAGGTGGGGCTGGAGGAGGGAAAGATTGAGGGGGGTTGGGGGGAGGAGCCGAAGCGGACACCGCCGGGAGCGTGCGTCGTGACGTCATCACAAGAACTCTTATATGCAGGAGCCCAGGCACCATATTGTCTTTTCGAGGTGGGACCCGACTGTTGTGAGGTATGTTTTATCTTTGCGAGTGTTGCGGGTTTTGGGGCCCTCCATCCTTTGTCAGCTAAGGTCACCCTGAACTGACTGGGCCTTCTAAGCCAGTCGCGCGCCTTTGCAGGGCGTACAAGTTGAGGATGGTGGGGGATTGCACGTTTGGTGCATCTGTGACCTAAGCTGCGACTATGTTGTTCGGGTAGAACTGCGGAGAAGCCTCGGCTCTGGTGCCCTGCCTGTGATGAAGCCTGTGTTGGTAGGGACATCTGAGAGTGATGATGAATGCCAACCGCTCTGATGGTGGCACACGCCGAGTCACCCTAGTAAGCTATTGTTAAGAGCCTTGAGCCGAGCCTCCATCAGCCGCCCGCTGTCAGGAAAGGCTGGCGGTGGGAGTCCACGTGCTTCTCTAAGTGCCTGCATTCCGCGGTGCCACCAATATTTCCATTAGTGTTTCTTTTTCCTTTTTTTTTTTTTTTTTGAGACCGAGCCTCATTCTGTCACCCAGGCGGGAATGCAGTGGCGCCATCTCGGTTCATAGCAATCTCCGCGTCCTGGTTCAAGCAGTTCTGCCCTAGCCTCCCAAGTAACTGGGACTACAGGCGCGCGCCCGCAGGCTAGGCCTTTGTATTTTTAGTAGGTCTCATCATGTTGGCCAGACTGGTCTTGAACTCCTGACTTGGAGTGATCCACCAGCCGTGGTCTCCCAAAGTGCTGGAATTACTAGGCGTGAGCCACTGCGCCTGGCCGTTAGTGGTTCTTAACTGCGGGTGCAGTGCTCCTTTGTAACATTAAGTGTATTCTTTACCTGTCTCTAGATAATGTTATATTACCTGCATCATTGATTTAAAAACACGACATAAAGAACCGTGGAACAATGAATTAAAATCTGTACCCGATCTCTTTAGGTATGGTACTGGGTGCAGATGCAATGTGGCTCTCGATAGCACCTTATGGACAGGTAAGAATCGGGGAAAGTACGGTGGGAAGAATGAAATCTAAGAGATGGGCTTAGCCTGTGATGCTTTAAGAGTAGTGGACAGAAGGGATTTCTGAAATTCTATTCTGAGGCTTTAATATTAACAGCATTGATATTTAGCGTGACTGCAGTAAGGTTCATTCTCACTGTTCTGCTTGCATCTTTTTGTTTTCTAGTTGTGTCCCAAAGGAGGGATAACAATAGCTACTGAAGTAAGTTGAAAATTCCTTCAAAAAGATTTAAAGTCACTGGATGTGCCACAATGATGACAGTTTATTTGCTACTCTTGACTGCTAGAATGATGAGGAGCTTAACCACCATTATCTTAACTGAGGCACCCAAAATGGTGATTTGGGGAACATAGAGAGTACACCTAAGTTCACATGAAGTTGTTTCTTCCCAGGTCCTAAAGAGCAAGCCTAACTCAAGCCATTGGCATACAGGTGAGAAACCTCTATATTGTACTTCTCACTTTTTGAGGGATTAGAAAATAGCCAAATGAATGATTTTATATATATTAGTGTTTTTCTCCCCACTTTTCAAATGAGAGTTTTGCTCTCATATTGATACTAAATTTAATACTGAGGAAAACGTGAAACCAGATACTATGATGGTTGCATAGTTCAGCAGATTGAATCATGAAGAAATGTACTGTGTCTGATGTGTCTGGGGTGGTTGCGGTTTGCTGTTACTAGTTAAGCAGTGTACCACCAATCTACCATTAAAATATTCTTTACTGACAATTTTGTATTAAAATTGCAGGCATTAGACAGAAAACTAGAAGTTGAAATGGTAAGTAAAATTATATCCAAATAAACAGGTAACTGGGCAAACTGCCTGCGGCACAAATGGCTTTTTAGAGTTACCTTCTACCAGTGCTAAATGCATTAAATAAATGGCGGGTTCTTGTCCTGTTATGATTAATAAGAAAGTTTGTAAATGCAGCCTAGATGATGATAAGCAAATACTGACTGAACATGAAGGTCTTAATTAGCTCTAACTGATTAAAGGCATTTGTTAGTTTTGGCAGGTGGGGGGAAACTCATCTGTGGCTATTTTAAGACCACTCTTAATTTTTAGGTGGAGTCCAACTTGTCTGGACCAGCTTTATGTTTCTGGTAAGTATTAATGAAAATGCTAATAGTGATATGCTTACTGCTGAGCTAATGGTTTAAGGCTTGGCTGATGAATACTGACTGTGTTTTCCTTGAACATGTTTGGAACAGTGTGTATTTTCCTTGAGCATGTTTGGAACGGGGTTTGTGTAATGATGTTGATCAAATGTCTGACCTGAAATGAGCGTGTAGACAAAAGGTAACACTGAAGAACCCTGTGACAGACAACTTTGAAAAGAGTTTAATGATGTTTAGCATTTTAATAGAAGGCCTCATTTGTATTCCACCTCCTGGTAACATTTTTATCCGTGGATGGCTTGCTTGGGTAAGGACATGAAGATAGTTCCTCTAGCTTGTTTGTTTCTGAAATGTGGTCTTACTAATTGATGACTGTTACAGAGTCGTTTTGTTAGAAAATTTTGAAAAGTGGGCAGTATGAAAGTACTGTATTAAAGCAGTTATTTAAAAGCATTAGATATTTGAAAGTAAATATTTGAATATTGTTTACTTTGAAAAGTAAATGATATTCAATGTAGGAAATGGTGTGAAACTTTTTCAGGTGCCGATGTTTGGAGACCTTTTAAAGGTATGTTTTATTGATGTTAACATGTTTATTGAGTGAGCTACTGTTAGTGATGATTTTAAAATTAAAGCAGATGGGAATCTCTCTGAAAGAAAATGGAGATTAATCTTAAACTGAAACAGTAGTTGGGAAATCTTTTAGAAATCCACCTATTATTTCTACCTATTGGTAAAGGAGATTAAATTTCTGCAGGTATGGAGAGTCAACTTGACTACACCTTGTGGAGCAAGTTTTAAAGAAGAAAGGTATAGCAGTCCCAAGTTGTTTTTTTTTTTTGTTTTTTAATTGAGGCCAGAGTCTAGCTCTTGCCCGGAATGGAGTGCAGTGTCACTATCAGCTCACTGCAACCTCTGCCTCCCGGGTTCTAGGGATTCTCCTGTCTCAGCCTCCTGAGTAGCTGGGATTACAGCCATGTGCCTCCACGCCTGGCTAATTTTTGTACTGCCATGTTGTTCAGGCTGGTCTCCAACTTTTGACCTCAAGTGATCTGTGTGCATTGACCTCCCAAAGTGCTGGGATTACAGGCGTGAGCCACCGGGTCCCACCTCAAGTCTGGTTTTTAAAGTGTCGTAAAGCCGATACAATGATGATAACATAGTTCAGCAGACTAACGCTGATGAGCAATATATTAAGTCTTTCGCTCCTATCTGATGTATCTGGCTGTAACATTCTAGTTTATGCCCTGAAAAGGGGAATATAGTCATTCTACAGTGTTTGGAGATTTTGGGTTACTCTCAATTGTATGCAAGTTGTCTTACTGTGTATTGTCCCTTAATTTCAGGACTCAGAATTCATGCTTGAAGAAATGCAGGTTAGTTTAAACTTTTAAGGAAATTTTTAAGGTGGCAGAAGGTTTTAGTGGCATATACACCTTAATCTGTAGATGGGAGTGATTAGCTGTTTGAAAGTTGAAATGTGACTGAAAAGGAAATTGAGTAGGGCACATTTTAAATGGGATTATTTTTCATCTTCAAACAGGCAGACCTGTTATCCTAAACTAGGTGAGTCAGCTTTTGGTACATGTGATAATTTTCACCGTAACCAATGATGTAATGATTCTGCCAAATGAAATATAATGATATCACTATAAAACCGTTCCATTTTGATTCTGAGGTTACTCTACTAACAAGCATCACACGTTTGTTTTTTGCCATGATTAATATGTTGTCTTTGCTTTCAGAGTTTTTAATGACCACAGCAAGCAAGCATGTAGCTTACCGCTTGAAAGGTGAGGATTGGAAATATTGGGACTATTATAATTGCAGAATACATGATGATCTCAGTCCATCTTGAACTCTCTCACTGATTACCTGATGACAATAAAAGATCTGATATTCTGCATTCCCATGTAGCATTTTAATTGAAGTCTGGAAATGTGGCTAAAAGTCTGTCTTATTTTTTGAGACAGGGTCTTGCCTCACCCAAGCTGGAGTGCAGTGGCCCTTTGAGGCTTACTACAGCCTGCCTCAGACTTCTGGGCTCAAGTGATCCTCAGCCTCCCAATGGTCTTTGTAGACAGCCTGATGGAGTCTCATGGCACAAGAAGATTAAAACAGTGTCTCCAATTTTAATAAATTTTTGCAATCCATTTGGAGTGTATAGTATTTACTTTAAAAAGCACAGTGCTTTTCATCTGTTCATTCGTTGTAAGCATAAATCACATTCAAAGGCTATTGTAACTCCATGGCATTTAACACTGCAGCCAGTTAAAATTTTATGGGTGTGGGGAAAAGAGATCAGACTGTTACTGTGTCTATGTAGAAAGAAGTAGACAGAGACTCCATTTTGTTTTGTTCTAAGAAAAATTCTGCCTTGAGATGCTGTTCATCTGTAACCATACCCCCAACCCTGTCCTTGCGGAGACTTGCTGTGTCAACTCAAGGTTTAATGGATTTGGGGCTGTGCAGGATGTGCTTTGTGAAACAAGTGCCCGAAGGCAGTATGCTTGCTACAGTCATCACCATACTCTAATCTCAAGTACCCAGGGACACAAACACTGCAGAAGGCTGCAGGGACCTCTGCCTAGGCAAGCTAGGTATTGTCCAAGGTTTCTCCCCATGTGATAGTCTGAAATATGGCCTCCTTAGGAAGGGAAAGACCTGATCATCCCCCAGCCCGACACCCATAAAGGGTCTGTGCCTGTGCTGAGGAGGATTAGTGAAAGCAAGGCAGGCCTCTGTCTCGGGCAATGGAATATAAAACCCAATCGTATGTTGTAAACCACCTTAGGGCTGGAGGTGGGACGTACTAGCAGCAATGCTGCTCTTTATGCACTGAAAATGTTTATGGAGATGTTTGTATATATGCACATCAAAGCACAGCACTTTTCCTTACTCATGACACAGATCTTTATTCATACGTCTTGCTGATCTCCTTACTATGACCCTATTGTCCTGCCACTTCCCGCTCTCAGATGGTAAAGATAATGATCAATAACTACTGAGGGGTCCCCGCGGGTCCTCCATATGCTGAGCGATGGTCCCCTAGGCCCACTTTTCTTTATAGGTTGTCTCTGTGCCTCTTTTCTCAAGTCTCTTGTTCCACCTGATGAGAAACGCCCACGGGTGTGGAGGGGCAGGCCACCCCTTCATATGGGTATTTTACAAGGTGTCTTATGCGTTAAAGTGCAGTATTTCCTAATTCCCCATATGAGCAAATTGTCAGGTTTCATAGGCCTCTGTGCTAATTGGTTTTCAGCTTAAAGTATTGATGGAGCTACTTTTGAGAAAGTCATGGTGAGTCTGAGGCTGGGAAAATAAGCTATAGAAATGCCCAACTAGTGATAGGAATTAATGGAATTGGGAAAATCTACAATCCATAGCCATGGTGATAGGTTTTTGGCAAGCAAGTGTTTAGGGATGCCAAAAGTGGGTATAAGGGGCACAACTGGTGTTTAAAGCAATCTGCCTCAGGGAAATGTAGGACCAAGGGGCCAAAATTCCAAGGTGGGTGGATTTTTGAGTGTCAGTACAGCTGTGGTTATAATGATGTCAGCAGTAATGGTTTTACAAATCTCAGTTTCTGGACTAAAGCGCTTTAGTCCCATTAATGATAATAAAACTTGTTTGTTTCCACTTACTCTCTGAATTCCTTTTTTTTGACACTGAATCCCTGTTGTCCAGGCTGGAGTGCAATGGCGTGATCACCACTGCTCACTAACCTCCACCTCCTTGGGTTCAAGCGATTCTCCTCAGGCTCTGCCATTGCAACAGGCTCATTTTGGTATTTTTAGTAGAGACGAAACCCCGTCCTCCCAAAGTGCTGGGATTGCAGGCCTGAGCCAGTGTGCCTGGCCTCTTCTGGCTTTTTATACTTGATATTTTCTTCAGGACTCTACCCATTGTGGTCATTTCACAATCTCATTGAAATGTCAGCTTATGCACTAAATGCATATAATTTTTGTAGATGGGGAATACATGTAAATTTTGTCTAAGAAAAAAGGCCTCCCCCTTCCCCAAATAAACATTCTTTCATTTCCTGGGGCCCACCCAGATGTTTCACACAGGTTGTAAAAAAACTAACACCTGGCTGGGTGCTGAGGTGAGCGGATCACCTGAGGTCAGGATTTCAGGACCAACCTGGCCAACATGGTGAAACCCCATCTCTACTAAGAAAAATTACAAAAATCTAGCCGGGTGTAGTGGTGGCCTCCTGTAATCCCAGCTACTTGGGAGGCTGAGGTTGCAGTGACCCGAGATCGTGTCACTGCACTCCAGCCTGGGTGACAGGGTGAGACTCCGTCTCAAAAAAGAAAAGAAAAAGGCTGGGCGTGGTAGCTTATGCCTGTAATCCCAGCATTTTGGGAGGCCGAGGCGGGTGGATCACATGGTCAGGAGTTTGAGACCAGCCTGACCAACATGGTGAAAGCCCCATCTCTACTAAAAATACAAAAATTAGCCAGGTGTGGTGGTGTGCACCTGTGATCCCAGCTACTCGGGAGGCTGAGGCAGGAGAATCGCCTGAATCTGGGAGGTGGAGGTTGCAGTGAGCTGAGATCATGCCACTGCTCCAGCCTAGGTGACAGAGCAAGACTGTCTCAAAAAAAACAAAACAAAACAAAACAAAAAACTAGCACCACCTACCACAAATGGTTACCCTTTACTCTTCATGCGACCACCATTATCTGTGTTTTTTTCTTATTTCCCCCACAAGAATGTAAGCGCTTCAAGTTTATTCCTTAATGTTGAAAAAAATGAATGAAACTGCAAATGTGGTAGATGAGTTTTTGGGGAGGTACCAAAGACTGAAATTGGCAAAATACCTTGATTTAGAAGTGAAAAACGATGTTACATTTCAAAGTATCTTTTCACCAGGTGTGATGGCTCAGGCTTCGATACCAGCCTGGCCAACATGGCAAAACCCAGTCTCTACTGGAAAAAAACGAAAATTAGCTGGGTGTTGTGGTGTGGGCCTGTAGTCCCAGCTACTCTGAACCCTGGAGGTGGAGGTTGCAGTGAACCAAGATCGTGCCACCTCACTCCAGCCTGGGCCTCCTAGGCTCAAGTGACTCTCGTACCTCAGCTACCTGAGTAACTGGGATGACAGGTATGTGCCACCACACCTAGCTTTTTTTTTTTTTTTTTTGATATTTTTAGTAGAGATGGGGTTTCACCACGTCAGCCAGGCTCGTCTTGAACTCCTGGCCTCAAGTGATCCAACCACCCCACCATCCCAAAGTGCTGGGGTTACAGGTATGAGCCATTGCGTCCAGCCAAGTTCTATTTTTGTTCCCTTTTTCTTTTTTGAGACGGAGTTTCACTCTTGTTGCCCAGGCTGAAATGTAGTGGCACAATCTTGGCTCACTGCAACCTCCGCCACCCAGGTTCAAGCGATTCTCCTGCCTCAGCCTCCCGAGTAGCTGGGGATTACAGGTGTGCGCCACCATGCCTGGTTATTTTTGTATTTTTAGTAGAGAGGGGGTTTCACCATGTTGGCCAGGCTGGTCTCGAACTCCTGACCTTGTGATCTGCCCACCTAGCCTCCCAAAGTGCTGGGATTACAGGCGTGAGCCACCACATCCAGACTCTTGTTCTCCCTTTTATATATAAGTGATTTTCTGAATCAGAAAACTTTGGCAGGCATATTAAAGGATTTAAGTTGTATGTAGTGGCTCATGCCTGTAATCTCAGCACTTTGGGAAACCAAGGCGGGGTGGGGGGGATTGCTTGAGTCCAGGAGTTCAAGACCGGCCTGGGCAACATAATGAAACTCTGTCTCTACAATTAAAAAAAAAAAAAAAAAAAAAAAAGTGAGCCGGGCATGATGGTGCATGCCTGTAGTCCCAGCCACTCATGAGACTGAGGTGGGACGATCGCTTGAGCCCAGGAGGTTGAGGCTGCAGTGAGCTGTGTTCACACCACTGGACTCCAGCCTGAGTGACAGGGTGAGATGTTGTCTCAAATAAAATAAAATATTTAAAAATTGGATTACCTTATTCAGCAGTTGTTTAGCAGTTTTGGAATTTTAGTTGTTAGTAGACCTTGAGTACACGTTATTTTGATATGCTGTGTGACAAAATAGGAAGTATGCATGAAGCACGTCTGCCACAAAGTATGGATTTCTAGATATTTTTTCCCCTAGAAAAAGTAGTTACAATTGTTTGAGATACAAGCTGAACTAGCTGGTTTTTTCACAGAACATTTTTAGTTGAAAAAAATCTGACAAATTACTCATATTTTAGGGGTAATTTTGGCAGAGACTTGCTCAAAAAAGAACAAGTAAGCTTGGAAAAAACTGATGGTATTTGTTGCCAATGATAAAACTCAAGCTTCCAAATGAAACTTAAAATTTTGGAAGGCTTGTATACACCTCTGTGCCCTTATAGCTTCCTCAGACTTAAAAGATTTTTGTAAAGAGATTGATGATAATATTAATTAATGGTATTTTATTTTAGACATTGTATATCCAAATGTGTCAACATTTGGAAGATTTGCATAACTCAGTGAACCAATTATTTTCCAAATGATCAATGACTGGACTGGTGTTACAAATATCACACATAGGTAAAAATTCTATTTAAATATAAGGTACACCAATGGGCTTTAGAAAAGCTCATCAATATGATTTCAGAATCCACATTGCAACTAACCTTTAAGGAACTCTACTAGTCATATTTTGGTGTGGTATCAAAGAGAATATCCATAATTATCAGAGAAAGCTATTAAAATACTCCTCCCTTTTCCAACTTTATATTTGCGTGGGGTGAGATTTTCTTCATATACTTCAACCAAAACAGCATATAACAGATGGGATACAGAGGCAGATATCAGAATCTAGTGTCTTCTATTAAGCCAGAAAACAAATATTTGCAGAAATACAAAACAACGTTACTCTTCTATTTTTTTTTTTTTTTGAAAATACTTATTTTTAAAACAAAAACATGGCTGAGTATGGTGGCTCACGCCTTTGTAATCCCAGCACTTTGGGAGGCTGAGGCAGGCAGATCACCTGAGGCCAGGAGGTTGAGACCAGCCTGGCCAACATGGCAAAACCCCATCTCTACTAAAAATACAAAAATTAGCCAGGCGTGGTGGTGGCCACCTGTGGTCCCAACTACTCAGGAGGCTGAGGCAGGAAAACTGCCTGAACCTGGGAGGTGGAGGTTGAAGTGAGCCGAGATCGCACCACCGCACTCCAGCCTGGGGAACAGAGTGAGACTCTGTCTCAAAATAAAATAAAAACGTGCTATTTGTGTTAACATGTAATGGGTTATTTTTAAATGAATTAAACTTTTAAAAATCATTAAATCAATAATTAATTAATTAAATAGGCTGAGGCAGGAGAATCACTTGAACCCAGGAGGCAGAGGTTGCAGTGAGCCAAGATGGCGCCATTGCACTCTAACCTGGGCAACAGAGTGAGACTCCATCTCAAAAAAAAAAGAAAAAAGTTATAAATCAAAAGAATTTCAAGGCAGAAGTGAAGACTGAGTAGAAGAAAACAATTTCAAAATCACTGATCAAGACCTTGTTCTCATTTTATATATTTTTTTGAAATGGAGTCTTATTCTGTCGCCAGCCTGCAGTGCAGTGGCATGACCTCGGCTCACTGCAACCTCTGCCTCCTGGGTTCAAATGAGTCTCCTGCCTCAGCCTCCTGAGTAGCTGGGACTACAGGCATGTGCCACCATGCCTGGCTAATTTTTGTATTTTTAGTAGAGATGGGTTTCACCATGTTGGCCAGGATAGTCTCGATCTCTTGACCTTGTGATGCACGTGCCTCAGTCTCCCAAAGTGCTGGGATTACAGGCATGAGCCACTGCACTCAGCCTCATTTTATAATTATTATTAAAACTTTTATGTGTATGATTAGAACTTAAAATCATAATGAGTTTTGGTGTTCACTGTTTTGCACATTTGAGGTTAATCTAAGGTGGATTAGAATTTTCAATTACTTATAATTGAGAGAAAATAGTGTTCAGTGATTAATAATATCTTTGTTATCTTTTTTTTTGAGATGGAATCTTGCTCTGTCACCCAGGCTGGAGTGCAATGGCACCATCTTGGCTCATTGCAACCTCCATCTCCCAGGTTCAAACAAACCTCACGCCTCAGCCTCCCGAGTAGCTGGGATTACAGGCATGCGCCACCATGCCCCGCTAATTTTTGTGTTTTTAGTAGAGACAGGGTTTCACTATGTTGGCCAGGCTGGTGTTGAACTCCTGACCTCAAGTGATCCACCCACCTCGGTCTCCCAAAGTGCTGGGATTACAGGTGTGAGCCACCACTCCCAGCCAATAATATCTTTAAAACTAAAAATGTAAACAGAAAATTGGTAAGTAAAATGACTTTTACTATTGACGTCAGTTTTGTTTAATCTGAAACTAAATATATAGAGATATATCTACCTATTTATGGATGGATAAGATCATCTCACATTTCTGGAATGCTTTATAGTTTTTCAGAGTACTTTTATTCACTTATCTTCCATATATGTTATCTCCTCTGATTCCAGCAATAAAAGCCCTATGAAGTAGCCAGGGAAAGTATGTATTCTACACATTAGCAGGAAGAGAGGCTAAGAGAGGTTTACGTAACTTGCTCAGGCTGAAAAAAAATTTGTGACTCTCATTTCAGTGATGTTTTCTGCATTATTATAAAATATGCTACTCCTCATTGCATTATGTTGATGGTTGAAATGTCATTATAAAGCTTAATTTATATGATTCTCTTGATGAGGATTATGAAGCAAACTCTCTATCAACTCACTAGTTTACAGGGGCAAGCATTTTCTCACATTTCACACATGATCTGATTACCTCTGTCGTAAGTGAATAATCTACTATCTGGGTATGAAAAACATGATTTGAAAACACTAAACCACTATATTATTCCAACAAAGAACCATCTTTCACACCTAAGTAAAAAGGAACTTCAAAAAAAAGTCCTAACCAAAAAAAATCCGAATGATGCATGAGATCGAGTCAAAATTGGGTATCTTCTGTTTCTTCATTGTGGCGAAGAATGTTGCCTGGATTCCTTCCATCTAAAGACTTGATTGTCAGACCTGTGGCAGAACTCTAGATCTGATTTTAGCCTTGGGGAAGCAAAGAGGACAAAACCTAAAAGCTAACTTCCTGCATGGTATACAAAACCTAAAAGCTCAACTTTTTGGATGGTATGCATGACTCAATGAGCTCTTTCTGCTTTGGAGTCTGTTGGCCAGGAGACTCGGATATGATAGGGCTTCAGTTCCTCCGAAGGGATAGAATCTGGGGCATTGCTCATGAGGTCATGTCCCCGAAAGGACTTTGGGAAGGCTATGACATCTCTGATGCTTGGAGATCCAGTGACAAGGCATATCAGTCTGTCTAACCCTGTAAGTAAAATACAAAGATAACAGATGAGAAATGTAATCTAATGTTGGAAATAACTTAGTTTTCTGTAAAAGTTGTAGAGAACTTTTAAATAAGAATATTTAACAAACTGTAGTCAACCATAGTTCCCTACCTTTTTAGAGACCTTTTGTTTGTTTGAGAGGTTCTTTTCTATCTCATTCTGGAAAAGTATTCAGGACTAATGTTCACATGCTACTTGGATTGTCACAGCGATTAGCATTCCTAGCAAAGGCTTACTAAGGGCCCTAAAACAGATTCAACAATATATTTGGTGCTTGGCAGGGAACTCCATAAACACAGAAGGAAGTCCTTATTGTTGGGGCCTACAATCTAGGTGAGCTTTCTAGAATTTCTTACTCTTCCTTGCTTTGACAAAACAAGCAAAGTGAGTAACCGTTGCAATCAGAAGGACACTGGCATATTCCTGTTTTCATACAAGCTGAACATTATGGAGCAGTGCTTTCCAGACTCGAATGAGCGCGTCTGTGAGGCCATGGGATTTGAGCAATATTGACTTAAGATCTGCAGTTTTAAGCTATTAATGATCTTTCAAATGCAAATTATCACTTAAATTATATCTTTATAACTGTTAAGATATATTTAAAAAATATATTACTGAAATTTCAACAGAAACTTACATTCTCATAGAACTCTTGGACTCATCCCTTCACCTCTACCAACACAAACTGAGAACCTGAATTTGAGACAGTGCAATGGAATTCAGTTTAGCTTATAAAAGGAAAAGTTGTTTACCTAAGGCAATTCCTCCATGAGGGGGTGCCCCGTAATCTAAAGCCTGGAGCAGATGGGAGAGCATTTTCACATCCTCCTGAAAGTCAGAAGATAATTCAGTATAAATATATTTTGAAGGTCCACTAAGTGCCACCATCTAGGCTTGGATGATAAAGGGAAAACAAAGTTGAGTTTTAAAACACCTAAACCTGACTTAACCAGTAATAAAAACTTACTGGAAAAGTGTAAAGAAAAAAATGACCTTAAGTGATTTACAGGTTAGCAAGGGAAAAAGACAAGTCATAGATGATTATAACATGTACAAAAATGCCTGGTGTTCAGTAAATGCAGCTTTTACTGTATTCACAATGCAAACAGAGTGAGACCAAACGAGGACGTGGAGATGAAAAGCAGGAAACTCTCCTGTCACAGAGACCAAGGGAAGAGAGCATTACTAAGTGGGCAACATTGTCAAATGCTGCTGGGAGGAAGGAGAGCTTAAGGGCCAAGAACAGGACACTGAATTTAGTGATTTTGTGAGTAACTTTTGTGGGGCAGTATGTGTAGAAATGTTGAAAGTGTGTTTGGAAATGGTTCTCCAACCAGGCTACAAATCAGGATCAAGTGGGAAGCTTCAAACAAACAGAGGCCAAAGCCTCATGCTTAGAACTTTTTTATTCAGTTGGTCTGATGTGTAGCCAAGGCACCAGTGGTTTTTTTTAATGCTTTCCAGGTGATTTGATTATAAGGTGCAGCAGGGTTGAGAACCACTGTTTAGGGAAGCAACAGAAGTAATGTATTCTAGGCCAGGTGCAGTGGCTCACACCTGCAATCTCAGCACTTTGGGAGGCCGATGCAGGCAGATCACCTGAGATTGGGGGTTCAAGACTAGCCTGGCCAACATGCAAAACCCTGTCTCTACTAAAAATACCAAAAAAAAAAAAAAAAGCTGGGCGTGATGGTGTGTGCTTGTAGTCCCAGCCACGTGGGAGGCTAAGGCAGGAGAATCACTTGAACCTGGGAGGCGGAGGTTGCAGTGAATCAAGATCACGCCACTGCACTCCAGTCTGGGTGACAAAGTGAGACCGTCTCAAAAAAAAAAAGTAATCTTACTGACTCTTGAAAAGTTTGACAATGAGAGGAATGAAAGAGATAGGCTGAAAACTGCTGACTGAAAGCTGGGCTGGGCAGGAGGAACGCTTGATCCCAGGAGTTTGAGGCTGCACTGAGTTATGATCATGCCATTGCACTCTAGCCTGGGTGACAGAGTGAGACTCCATCTTTTTACAAACAAACACACACACAAAACTCAATGGGTGATTGGAGGCTTTGACTTGGCAGGAGAAAAGTTAACAGATTTCGGCTGGGTGAGGTGGCTCACACCTGTAATCCCAGCACTTTGGGAGGCCAAGGCGGGTGGATCTCTTGAGGTCAGGAGTTCGAGACCAGCTGGCCAACATATGAAACCCCATCTCTACTAAAAATACAAAATAGCCGGGCACGGTAGTGCGCACCTGTAATCTCAGCTACTCAGGAGGCTGAAGCAGAAGAATCGCTTGAACCCAGGAGGCGGAGGTTGCAGTGAGCCAAGATTGAGCCACTGCACTCCAGCCTGGGCGACAGAGCAAGACTCTGTCTCAAAAAAAAAAAAAAAAGTAACGGATTTCACAATGCACATCAACTTTAAGGACACTGAAGGCTTAAAGCTAAAGGAGTCATCTCATGGTCTGAGTTCCCCAATCCTGCTCTTACATGTGAAGTTGTATCCTACCTCACACTTGTCAGTTAATCCCACAAAATGATCTTTCAGGACCAGACCCTCTCAGACCTTTCCCTTTCTGAAACCTACCCAAGCCTTCTACAGCATCACCAACAAACTTCAAATTCTTAGGTCTTCCCCTGTACAGACTCTTCTTTTTCTTTTAAAAATCCTGATTACTCCATTATCACTAAAATATATCCCTGCCTTAAATATAGCTAAAGTAGTATCTAATTAAGTGATATAAAATCTTTTCAAACGTCTCTTTCTCTAACATTATCAACATTTTTAGTTACTTCAGACTGCATGGTTTTCATTTGATTTGATTTTTATTTTTTTTAAGCTGCATGGTTTTTTTAAAGCAGGGTAGTAGTTAGGAGCATGGGCTTAAGAGCCACCCCGCCTGGATTCAAATCCTAACTCTGCTTACTTTTGTACTGTCGCTTTGGCAAGTTAAGTAAGTTGCCTCAGTAAATCTCATCTTTAGAGTGGGCAGAAGAAGGATATTTATCTGTTCTATTATAATAAGGGTATTTAATATGCACTATTAATTAGTACTTAAATAGTGCTGTTTAATAGTGCTATGTGCCAGATACTATTTAAGCATTTAATATTATTATTTACTTTTAATATTATTTACTTTTCCAAGTCCTACATTTACGATAGAGAGAGCTGATGCTTTTTGTATCTTGTGAATCCTCCATTCATAACAAATGTTTAATAAAATAGGCCGATTTAAGTCAGATGCAGTGGTTCATGCCTATAATCCCAGCACTTCGGGAGGCCGAGCTAGGAGGACTGCTTGAGGGCAGGAGTTTGAGAGCAGTGTGAGCAACATAGGGAAAACTTATCTCTTCAAAAAATTAAAAAAATCAGCCAGGCATGGTGGCATGTGCCTGTAGTCACAGCTACTTGGGAGGCTGAGGTGGGAGGATGGCTTAAGCGCAGGAGATTGAGATTGCAGTGAGCTATGAATGCACCAGTGGACACCTGCCTGGGTGACAGAATGTCTCAAAAACAAAAACAAACAAGCAAACAACAACAACTACTCAAAACTGAAAAATATTCTGGTAAAAAAAGAAGCCCAGGACAGCAGATGATGTTTGTTACCTTTAGTAAAGTTGCCAGGATATAACGCTGTAGCTCTGCATTGTGAATTCGAATCGAACCACCTCCTATTTCATTGCCATTTAAAACCAAGTCATAGTGTTGGCTACGGGCCTAGAAGATTCACAGAGACTTTATGTTAGAGAAAATGTCTGGTTTTTTGTTGTACAGGTTAAAGACCCTGTAGATTCTTAAAGACAATGTATTAACTACTAACTCAACTCCACAATTTCTTCTGGGGCTTCCAAAACTAGGTCCTATCTTTCATCAGACCTTGAAGACTGAAGATCTTTGCCTTTATATACACATTTCCTTTTAATTTGGAAGTATAGATATACCTTTTTGGGCTCAGTGTACAGGAGGTGTATGTCACTGGGGTGGGGAGCAGTAAATGGGTGGTGGGCCGATTCCAGCTCTCTGGGATTTTCCTCCTTGGGGAGGAAGAGTGGGAAATCTACCACCCAAAGAAAAGAGAACAGAGTGGGGTCACGGAGCACCATTCCTCTTGTTTCTAGAAGGTCAGCACATTCCAGTCGTAATTTTCCCAACAAAGAGCACTGCAAACAGAAGACATAAACATTGAGTTAACTTCTTTACAGAGCAGGCAGGAAAAGACACAGCCTGGATTCTGAAGCCAGGCCATTCTCTAGGAAAGGATTAGCCAATTAACAGGATGCCCTTTGCCTCTCAGGACACAATGATCTGAGGATGAGTCTGATTGCAACAAGGTTGAGAACAATCATCAGACGCAACTAATTGGGTGAGTACCGAATAACTCAGTTATTAAGAGCACAGGGAACAGCACTTCATAGACCTGGGTCTGAATCTCAGTGTGGCTGATTACGAACTTCTCTGTACCCTTTTTCATTGTAAAATGGGGATAAAAATATCAACTCCAAATGACTGCTGTGAAGCTTAAGTGAGATAATGTACATAAGGTGCAGGACTTGACAAAGTATGTGAGTGGTAGTCGTTCTGATTATTCCTCACTTCTCTTGAAGGAGTTGGTAAGTGTCTGGCACACTGTGAATGTTCAGTGAAGGCTGGCTATCACTACAGGTAATGCGGATTAGAGGTCCATTTAAGAGTGTGGCCGGGTGCAGTGGCTGACACCTGTAGTCCCAGCACTTTGGGAGGCCGAGGTGGGCGGATCACAAGGTCAGGAGTTCGAGATCAGCCTGATCAACATGGTGAAACCCCGTCTCCACTAAAAATACAAAAATTAGCCAGGCGTGGTGGCGTGCACCTGTAATGCCAGCTACTCGGGAGGCTGAGGCAGGAAAATCGCTTGAACCTGGGAGGAGGCGGAGGTTGCAGTGAGCCTAGATTGTGCCACTGTATTCATGGGTTAGAAATCCGGCTCCTTCACTTCCTAGCTATGTGACTGTGAGCAAAATTTTAAGCTCTGTGCTTCACTTTTCTTATTTTTAAAATAGCAACAGTATCAGAACTTCTTTCATAGGGTTGGCATGAGGATTAAATGAGTTAATATATACAAAGTGCTTAGAACAGGGCTTGGCAAATACTAAATGCTTAGTAAGTGCTACCTATGTGGTGCTGGACTTCCCTGAGAAAGGACAGCTGGTTAGAACAGTGACATATGCCTAGAGACATGATAGGGTGTTATCTTGCAGCCCATTCTATCTTACATTTATGTCTACATAAGGGACCCTCATTGTGACATTTTCAGAACGTTAATGTTATTCCTCAAAAGTCTGGTTTCTAGCTCTCTTTCAAGGAGAGCCTTGTACGAATCAGACCTATAACTTCCTGAGAAGGAAATACCAGCTTGTTTAGTTCATACCAAGAGAATGTTTAATAATCAAATCAGTTTAGAACAAAATCTCATGTTCTTTTTTAAGAAATGCATTCATAATAAAATTTGGAAATAAATAGCTTTCTTCATTTTACTATTGTAGGGGAAGGGGAGACGGGGATTACATTTAGCTTTGAAGATGAACTCTGAAACTTTTTCTTTGCAAGAAACAATGATAAATGAAAATACAGATTAGAAGAAAGAACTTGATGAAGTACTAGTTAGACACACTATCATTTGGAAAAAACTATATACTAAAGTGAAAAAATAAATTTATATCATGCTTGATCTTTACAGTACTTTTTAAATATTCACGTTTGACTTTGTGCTATACTTTTCTATATTTTACAAAGATTCCTAAAGCTAATTCAGTCTTCCATATCCCCTGAAGACTCATGACTCAGCCAGTGCATGAGGCACTCACCACCTACAGCTGCTGTTCTTGAGGAAAAAGGGGCCCACTTTGACCAAGTTGGTCCGGGGTGTCTGCCAGCCACCAGCTCTCCAGTGGTCTGATCTGTCCTTCCACAATTTAGGAATGTATTATGTACAAAAGTTTGAGACTCCTAATTTTCTTCATTTGTGAAATCTTGACTCTGAAAATAGTTTTTCATGATTATATGACTAATTTCACTACCCCTTAATCTAAGTGGCTTTTCTAATTAGAGTCAGGTCTAATCTATTTAATAAAGTAATGCCAATGGAGGCTGGCAGCTAATGAAAAAATCCTTAGTTTTTTTTTTTTTTTGAGACAGAGTCTGGCTCTGTCGGCCAGGCTGGAGTGCAGTGGCACGATCTCGGCTCACTGCAACCTCTGCCTCCCAGGTTCAGGTCATTCTCCTGCCTCAGTCTCCCAAGTAGCTGGGACTACAAAATACAAAAATTAGCCCACCACCATGCCCGGCTAATTTTTGTATTTTTAGTAGAGATGAAGTTTCACCATGTTGACCAGGCTGGTCTCGACCTCCTGACTTCAGGTGATCAGCCCACCTCGGTCTCCCAAAGTGCTGGGATCATAGGTGTGAGCCACCATGCCCAGCCAACCCTTAGTTTTTATACAGCGCATTATAAAGTACTATAAGATTTATGCAGGCTGGGCATGGTGGCTCACGCCTGTAATCCTAGCACTTTGGGAGGCTAAGGCGGGTGGATTGCCTAAGCTGAGGAGTTCGAGACCAGTCTGGGCAACACAGTGAAACCCCGTCTCTACCAAAATACAAAAAATTAGGTGTGGCAGTGTGCGCCTGTAATCCCAGCTACTCAGGAGGCTGAAGCAGGAGAATCTCTAGAACCCGGGAGATGGAGGTTGTGGTAAGCCAAGATCCCACCACTGCACTCCAGCCTGGACAACAGAGCAAACCTCTGTGTCTTAAAAAAACAACAAAAAAAGATTTATGCTGAGCAGCTTCATTTTATGAATTAACAGTCTATAGTTCAAACATATACTATATACATTGGAGAGTAAGGCATTGTTCAGCATCAACAGCACTGATGGTTGGAAGTAATTTTTCTTACTGCTTTATTGTGCTCTCCAGCAGTTAGTAGGACCACATCTTCCTCTTGGGTGTCCATTAGTCTTATTAATTCCAGTCTTTGCGATTCCATTATGAAGCTAGCAACTGGAGAATTCCAGTTTCTATTGGCGTTAAGGAATACAGGTAAGATTTCCTGTGTAAAAGAAAAAGACATATTCATGTTTTTTTTTTTCTTTAAACAGTGGGATTAATTTATCTTCTTACAGTACAAAGATTTCTGGTTCCCAATAGAAGAGAATTTAAAAGAGATTATCTCCCTGAACCCATTCAAAATGATACTAAGGGAATTTTATAAAGTGCACAGTGGCTGATGCCTGCAATCTCAGCAATTTGGGAGGCTGAGGTGGGTGGATCACTTGAGGCCAGGAGTTCAACACCAGCTTGGCCAACATGGTGAAACCCTGTCTCTACTAAAAATACAAAAATTAGCTGTGCCAGTTGTATGCGTCTGTAATCCTAGCTACTCAGGAGGCTGAGGCATGAGAATCACTTGAGCCTGGAAGGTAGAGGCTGCAGTGAGCTGAGATTGGGCCATTGCACTCCAGCCTGGGTGACAGAGTGAGACTCAAAAAAAAAAAAAGTCATTTCAACATAATGAAAAAAAGGGGGAAGGGATGAAGAATGGAGAGTAATAGCACATGATGGATTTCTGCGAAATTTTGGCAGATTGCAAGTGAACTGAGTAGGAATGATTAAAGAAGCAAGGTGCAGGAAGGTCTCGCATAAAGAACAATGGAGGCGGCCTCAGCACAAGAAGGAACTGATTTTACCCTGCAGAATTCTGGAGAGGCTCAGGACTCTTAAGCCTTGAGTGCCTAGGATAACAGACAGCGGCCTTGCTGCTCATGCTAAACTAAACCTAACCATTTACAAAGCCTCTGTAAGGATCTCACGCTTCCAACCAGCTTTCTTTTCTTTTTGAGATGGAGTCTCGCTCTGTCACCCATGCTGGAGCGCAGTGGCCTGATCTTGGCTCACTGCAGTCTGCCTCCCGGGTTCAAGCAATTCTCCTGCCTCAGCCTCCCTAGTTCCTGGGATTACAGATGTGTGCCACCATGCATGGCTAATTTTTGCATTTTTAGTAGAGACGGGGTTTCACTATGTTGGCTAGGCTGGTCTCAAACTCCTGACTTCAAGCGATCTGCCTGCCTTGGCCTCCCAAAGTGCTGGGATTACAGGCGTGAGTCACTGCACATGGCCCCAACCAGCTTTTAAAATGCCCCATTCTTGAATATGTACAGATAACCAACAATCACTGCACATTGAAGAAACTCTGCAGCATTAAAAAAAAAAAAAAAAAAGACCAAGATAAACCCAAAAAATTAGTCCCAGAGAAAACATAAGTTAGGGACCAAAAGAGAATCCTCAAAGGTACTCAAAAAGATATTTTATGAATAAAACCAGAATAAGATGCAGTGAAAAAAGCTCCTGGGGAAAAAAAAAAAAAAAAAAAAAAAAATTCAACAGAAGAGTTGAAGAAATCTCCAGGAAAATAGAACAAGACAAAGAAAATGGTGAAAAATGACATGCCAAAAAAAAGAGGTTAAATTGGTTCAACATACAACTAGTAGAAATTCCAAAAAGAGGCTAGAAAAAATGATGAGGTCAAAATAGTTAGATAATAAAAGAATTTTCTACACATAATAAAAGAATTTTCTACACATAAAAAGACATAAACCTTCATACTGAAAGGGCTCTTCAAGTATGTAACACATTGAATGAAAAATGATCAAAAGGCAAACAAACTCTGAAATTTCAGAACATAAAGAATCAGAAGGCAAAAATCTTCCAAAGAGAAAAAATCAGGTCTGCTATAATGGAGTAAATTCACACAAGCATCAGAGCATCAGACTTCTCATCAGTAGCAATACATGGGAGAAGAAAGTAAAGCAATGCCTTAAATGTTCTAAAGCTGTGCTGTCTAGTGATGCACTGTGGCTATGTACATTTAAATTAATTAAAATGAAATAAAGTAAAAAGTTCAGCCCTTTAGTTGTACTACCCTATTTCAAGTGCTCACTAGCTACATTGGCTAGCAACAACTATACTGAACAATGCAGACATAAAACGTTTCCATCATTACAGAAAGTTTTATTGGATAGCACTCTTCTAAGATGATATGGCTGTCAATTCAAAATTTTGTACTAAGCCAAATTATTATTAATCAAGTGTGAGGTTTTAAACATAAAGACATTTTGTAAGAACTCAGTAAGTTGATCTCTCACGTGCTTTCTTAGGAAGTTACTTGACTACATACTCCAACACAAAAAAGAAAGAGGAAAACCTGGGATCCAGGATGAGTTACTTCAACTCAAAAGAATGAAGAAAAGGTTCAGAAAGACAGCTGAGCAGAAGGTACAGAGTAACTAGGTGAAGTCTGTTTATGTGAGCCTTATCTCTCATCACAGGAAGTTAACAAGGTTTAAATGAATTAAGTAAAAAGAAAAAAGTATGTAGAGATATTTCCAAAAACAGATACTCTGGCAGAATACTAGGATGGATGCAGCAGGCTAGAGCAAATGATTATTGCATTTCATCATTAATGCTTCTTTATTTTTTGAACCGTGTCTACGCCATATGTTGCTAAAAACACGTAAGATCTTCTAAAAGCAATCAGAAGCCAAATCAAGTTAAAACATTAATAAAAATAGTAGTAGTAGTACCCATTTCTTACATAAAAGTTCAGGAAATTAGGAAGGAAAAAGAAGAAAGAGAACAATGAAAGAAGAAAATGTAATAATAGTCTCATCAACTGAAGGCTGCCAAAATTAACCTTCAGGCTTATTTCCTGGTCCTATGGTTCTTAGATGCAGATTTTATACACTAATAAAATAAAAATAAACAAAATTGGAAGATAAAGGGTTGCCAATTTTTAATTTTATAAAGAAAAGGCATATTTCTTCCCCCCGCTCCCCCCACCACCAACAGAGAGATAAAGGATAGTTCTTTAAATTTGTTTAACTTTATGAAAAGCTTGTTATATTGCCCTGACTTTTCTGATTTTGTCTCAACCCATTTTGGAAACCACTATCCCAATCTTTTTTTCTTATATACAAATCTACTTATTGTTCTTTGTGCTTGAAGTATGAGGCTTGGGAAATGGTGGTAGAGGTAGGTAGTCCATTTTCAATATACAAATATAATGTTTTTACATGGTTATAATCAGTATAAATATAATTCTATAGCTTCCTTTTCTTACATATCATTATAAGAGCATTTTTCCTCTATTAAGTCTTAGAAAACAAGATTTTAAAAAGGAACTTTAATATTAATTCCTTTGATTATATCATACTTTATTTAATTACTCCCATATGGTTTCATTTTATTCCTGTTATCATACCTAAGATTCTTTCCTTTTTTTTTGAGACAGGGTCTCACTGTGTCACCCAGGCTGGAGTGCAGTGGAGTGAACACAGCTTACTGCAGCCTCCATCTCCTGGGCTCAAGTGATGGGCTTAAATCCTCCCACCTCAGCCTCTCAAGTAGTTGGGATGATAGGTGTGTGCCACCATGCCAAGCTAATTTTTTTTCTGTTTTTCGTAGAGACGAGGTCTCACTATGTTGCCCAGGCTGGTGTCAGACTTCTGGGCTCCAGTGATACTCCCACTTTGGGCTCCCAAAGTGCTGGGATTACAGGTATGTGCTCCCATGCATGGCCGGATCCTTTCTTTTTTTTTTTTTTTTTTAAGAGACAGGGTCTCACTCTGTCACCCAGGCTAGAATGCAGTGGCATGATCATAGCTCACTGCAACCTTGAACTCCTGGGCTTGTGAGTCTCCTGCCTCAGTCTCCCAAGTAGCTGGGACTACAGACAGACATGTGCTACTATGCCCAGCTAATATTTATTTATTTATTTAGAGACTGTGGCCCAGGCTGGAGTACAGTGGTGTGACCTCAGCTCACTGCAACCTCTACCTCCTGTGTTCAAGCGATTCTCCTGCATCAGCTTCTCAAACTAGCTGGGATTACAAGTGTGTACCACCACACCTGGCTAATTTTTTGCTTTTTTTTTTTTTTTTTTTTGAGACAGAGTCTCGCTCTGTTGCCTAGGCTGGAGTGCAGTGGCCCAATCTCAGCTCACTGTAAACTCTGCCTCCCGGGTTCACGCCATTCTCCTGCCTCAGCCTCCTAAGTAGCTGGGACTATAGGCCCCTGCCACCATGCCTGGCTAATTTTTTTGTATTTTTGGTAGAGACGGGGTTTCACTGTGCTAGCCAGGATCTGTCTGCTTCGGCCTCCCAAAGTGCTGGGATTACAGGCATGAGCCACTGCGCCTGGCCAATTTTTTTTTTTTCCAAGATGGAATCTTGCTCTGATGCCCAGGTTAGAGTGCAGTGGCACAATCTTAGCTCACTGTAGCCTCAAACACCAGGCTCAGGTGATTCTCCCACCTCAGCCTCCTAAGTAGCTGGGACTAGGGGTGCAACAGGGCAGCATGGTGGCCTGAGCCTGTAGTCCTAGCTGCTTGAGAGAGAGGCAGGAGCATTGCTTGAGCCTAAGAAATCAAGGCAGCAGTGAGCTATTATGGCACCACTGCACTCCAGCCTGGGCAACGGAATAAGATCACATCTCCAAAATAAATATATAAATAAAATAAAAAATAAATAAAGGCAGAAGAATGATCTGAAATAACAAGATGCTCAAAACCAATGATAATGACAGTTTAGTTAACAACAGTTAAAAATATTGAATCTCTATGAAGAAAAAAACCGCTCTAATTAACTCCTTACCTGATTAAAATGGTCAGCTGCAAATTTTCTGATGGATTCAATGTCTTTCCTTTTTAAGTATTTCTGATGAAAGAAAAATCAAAGTAAACTTGTCATTATGACACTTAGCTTCATAAACATGGTTATGCGATCAAATGACAAACAAATATATTTTGTGTCTTCCTATTACAATAGTAAGATTTAATAAAAATTCGATGTCTGGGCTGGGCACGGTGGCTCATGCCTGTAATCCCAGCACTTCGGGAGGCCGAGATGGGTGGATTGCTTGAAAGTTGGGAGTTCAAAACCAGCCTGACCAACATGGTGAAACCCCGTCTCTACTAAAAATACCAAAATTAGTTGGGTGTGGTGGCAGATGCCTGTAATCCCAGCTACTCGGGAGGTTGAGGCAGGAGAATCACTTGAATGCAGGAGGCAGAGGCTGCAGTGAGTCGAGACTGTGCCACTGCACTCCAGCCTGGGTAACAAAGTGAGATTCTGCCTCAAAAAAAAAAAAAAAAAAAAAAAAAAAAATCAATTTCTGCTACCAAATGACACATTTTTAAAGCTTGTTACAGTGCTTATTTTTTCCAGTTATGCAACTCTTTTTTTTTTTTTTTTTTTTTTTTTTTGTGATGGAGTCTAGCTCTGTCACCCAGGCTTGAGTACAGTGGCGTGATCTTGGCTCACCGAAAACTTCACCTCCCAGGTTAAAGCAATTCTTCTGCCTCAGCCTCCCAAGTAGCTGGGATTACAGGTGCCCACCACCACGCCCAGCTAATTTTTGTATTTTTAGTAGAGATGGGGTTTCACCATGTTGACCAGGCTGGTCTTGAACTCCTGACGTCATGTGATCTGCCCGCCTTGGCCTCCCAAAGTGCTGGGATTACAGGTGTGAGCCACTGCCCTGGGTGTGCAGCTCTTATTGCAAATAGCTGTGAATGTATTCCACAGAAGACCCTTTATATCTAATATGCAGGATAAATGTTCAACATGAATGTCTACAACTGAATTGTGAAAGAAAACTTTCAGATCAATAAAAGGATTCAGAATTTGATTATTTGAGGTTTCTTAAAATTCTATCTTTTTTGAAATTATCTCAATGTCTTTCAAATGAGACATTATGGTTATCATGTTACATAACTTGGAAGCAATCCAAACACACAGTTTGATGTTTTGGGGTGTATTCCCCCTCCCTTCGAGAGCATGATGTCTTATCAGATCCCCTATGTGACAACTTGGAGTCAACTCCCTCTTCCCCCCAGGAATGTTACCTCAAACCTTATCATAATACCCATGTGTGAATTACTGACCTCAACTACTGGACTTCAAAAATACATATAAACTTAAGAGTTCCACAGACACTTTGATAGCACATGCTGTGATGGGATATACTCTGTCAACTGCTTCTCCTACAGCCAAGAGATGGGTGACACCATTAGCCTTGGAGCTAATCTCTGAAGCCTCGCCCACCCACACTGGCACTGCCCTCTAGCATCAAGGGACCTTAGGTGTAGTCTATACTGTGGTGGTCAAACCAGCTTCTCCCAAGAACTGCTCATATAAGAGTACACCTCAAACTTTAATTAGACTTTACTTTCCCCAGAGGACTACTTCCATCCTAATAGAGCAAGTGGACTTTAATAATTTTGGAACTCACTCGCTATGTGATTAATGCCCCTCAGCTACTGTTTTCCCTGTGAGGATTGTTTATGTTATTCTCTCTCTTTTTTTTTTTTGAGACGGAGTCTCACTTTGTTGCCCAGGCTGGAGTGCAGTGGCGTGATCTCGGATCACTGCAACCTCTGCCTCCAGGGGTCAAACGATTCTCCTGCCTCAGCATCCCGAGTAGCTGGGACTACAGGTGCCCGCCACCACACCTGGCTAAGTTTTTATATTTTTAGTACAGACAGGGTTTCATCGTATTGGCCAGGCTGCTCTTGATCTCCTGACCTCGTGATCCACCTGTCTTGGCTTCCCAAAGTGCTAGGATTACAGGCGTGAGCCACCGCGCCTGGCTCTTATTCTCTCTCTTTTAAGTATTGTGAACCTAAGAAAATATTTTCTTTGTATGGCAATAAACCATGTGATTTGTGAAATCATATTTTAATCGTCTTATTTCTACCATAAGCCATGCATCATTAACTATATTCATGCGGCATTTAACTAGGTATGGGAGGTATAAAAAGATGAAAACATGATCCACACTCCTGCAGTTCTTATATGTACTTGAGAAAGAACAGACAAACTTGAAATGGTATACATAATAATAGGCAAAATATCATACTGAGCTTACCTGAACATATTTCTTATGCCTGGACTATAGTATGCACAATAAATTACTCTTTTTTTTTGAGACAGAGTATTGCTCTGTCACCCAGGCTGGAGTGCAGTGGTGTGATCTCGTGCTCACTGCAACCTCTGCCTACTGGGCTCAAGTGATTCTACTGCCTCAGCCTCCCAGGTAGCTGAGATTACAGGCACCCACCACAATGCCCAGCTAATTTTTTTATTTTTAGTAGAGACAGGGTTTTGCCTTGGCCTTCCAAAGTGCTCGGATTACAGGCGTGGGCCACCGTGCCCAGCATGACAATAAATTACATTTTACTGGATATATGAAGTAAATAAAAAGTAATGAGAGGCCAGGCATGGTGGCTCACACCTGTGATCCCAGCACTTTGGGAGTCTGAGGCAGGTGGATTACCTCAGGTCAGGAGTTCGAGACCGTCCTGGCTAACATGGTGAAACTCCATCTCTACTAAAAATACAAAGAAAACTTAGCCAGGCGTGGTGGCATGTGCCTGTAGTCCCAGCTACTCAGGAGGCTAAGGCAGGAGAATCGCTTGAACCCGGGAGGCGGAGGTTGCAGTGAGCCAAGATCGCAGTGCTGCACTCCAGCCTGAGCGACAGAGCAAGACTCCGTCTAAAAAAAAAAAAAAAAGTAATGAGACTGAGTTCTTACTCCGTTCTGAATATACTGCTTACGTATCCAAATGAGTATAGACTTTCAAAATCACAATCTTGTTTAAAATATAACTGGAATGCTTCTTATGAAATTACTTTTAAAGCAGATGTACTACCTACAGAAAAGAGGTGTGTACCATTGCTTTAGTCAATGCTTGCTCAGCCCAACCATTCTCTCTCTCTCCTACCCCCTCTTTCCCTTCTTTTTTGCTTTTTTAGCTCCATCTCCTTTTATTTCCCTGTTATTAATGCAATTGAGATGAGAACTCTCAGAAAATCAAGAATCAACATGCAATGGCCATGCTGGCGCTGATACAGGGCTAAGAGATAGACAGACAACTGAGGCTGCAGACAGAATACTACGTATTATTTTATGCTCACACAGTATCCACAATGAAGTACAGGAGTACTACATAGCATCGTTTATTACTTATTTTAATTTTTTTTTTTGAGACGGTGTCTCTCTCTGTCGCCCAGGCTGGAGTGCAGTGGCGCGATCTCCACTCACTGCAAGCTCCGCCTCCCGGGTTCACGCCATTCTCCTGCCTCAGCCTCCCGAATAGCCGGGACTACAGGTGCCCGCCACCGCCCCCAGCTAATTTTGGTATTTTCACTAGAGCGGGGTTTCACCGTGTTAGCCAGGGTGGTCTTGATCTCCCGACCTCGTGATCCACCCATCTCGGCCTCCCAAAGTGCTGGGATTACAGGCATGAGCCACCACGCCCGGCCTATTACTTATTTTTGAGACAGGGTCTTGCTCTGTTATCCAGGTTAGAATGCAGTGGCACAATCATGACTCACTGCAGCCTTGAACTGTTTGCCTCAAGTGATCCTTCAACCTCAGCCTCCCGAATAGCTGGGACTACAGGTGTGAGCCACCATGCCAGGTAATTTTTGTAGAGACGAGGTCTATGTTCCCCAGGTTGGTCTTGAACTCCTGAGCTTAAGCAATTCTCCTGCCTTGGCCTCCCATAGTGTTGGCATTATAGGTATGAGCTACTATGCCTGGCTGATAGCACCTTTTAAAAGGGGGGGGTGGGGGAATAAAAACACCCTGGGATCTGGAATGTAAACTCACATTCATAAGATTTTATTGTTCTCTACTTATAGTTTTAGAAACGCTTTTTGACTCTGTATAAAAATACCAATTTTTTTTTTTTCCAGAGTTTTGCTCTTGTTGCCCAGGCTGGAGTGCAATGGTGTGATCTCAGCTCACTGCAACCTCCGACTCCCAGGTTTAAGCAATTCTCCTGCCTCAGCCTCCCAAGTAGCTGGGATTACAGACACCTGCCACCACGCCTGACTAATTTTTTAGTAGAGATGGGGTTTTGCCATGTTGGCCAGGCTGGTCTTGAACTCCTGACCTCAAGTGATCCACCCACCTCGGCCTCCCAAAGTGCAGGATTACAGGTGTGAGTCACCACGCCCAGCAAAAATACTTATTTTTTATTTAAAAAGAATTGTTCTTTCTGAAGTTTAAATATGACAGTATTGAGCAAAGTTACTTCCAAAGCATACATTCTACAGAAACACAGAACTTCACTTACTGCTCCTTCAGGGATACATATGGCTTTCACAGTTCCATGGGGCTTACTAAGTGCATCTTGAAGAAATCCAATCTCTGTGTTTCTGAACACATCACTGATATCTATAATCTGGAAAATGGGTAACAAAAAGAGATAACTAAATATGAAGTAATTTTTATCTGAAAACATTTTACAAAAAAGATTTTAAAGAAGAGAATAGATCTTGATAATTTAACATTTATAGACTACATTCAAAGAGTGTTTACCATGGGTTAAGCAATATGACCAGTGTTTTACATATACTCATTCATTTAATCTGCATAAAACTATGAGGTTAGCACTCTTTATTATCCCTATTTCACAGATGAAACCAAGACACAGAAATAAGGAACTTGCCCAAGATGGCATAGCTAGTAAGTGGCAGAGTCAGAATTTAACCCAAGCATTCTGATTTAAGAACCAGATTAAGATTCCAGGCTTGGCGCAGAGGCTCACGCTATAATCTCAGCACTTTGGGAGGCTGAGGTGGGCAGATCACCTGAGGTCAGGAGGTCAGTCTGGCCAACATGGCAAAACCCCATCTCTACTAAAAATACAAAAATTAGCCAGTGTGGTGGTACGCACCTGTAGTCCCAGCTACTCGGGAGGCTGAGGCAGGAGAATCACTTGAACCCAGGAGGTGGAATTTGCAGTGAGCCAAGATCTCACCACTGCACTCCAGCCTGGGCAACAGCGCGAGACTCCATCTCAAAAAAAATAAAAAAAGAACCACTATTCCATATTACAAACGAAGAAACAAGAAGTAGTTGAGTTGGCAGCTATAAGTTGGTAGTTATGACTTTTTGTGTATTGTATTTTTTTCATTCTAAGAATTGAGCACTGACTATTCACAGACCAGGCAGGACTCAATTTCTAAACAAAGTGCACTGAGAACTGAGATATAGAAATGTCACCGGCATTATGGGGATCAAGGGATATTGCTCTTTAAGAGCAAACAAGTAGAGGTCTGGTAATGAAACTGTTCTATATAAATTCTACCCCTGCCTTAAATACTTACAGATATTAATAATTTGAATAAACATTGTCATATGTTTGAGATTTTTATGGACCAAGGAAACTTAGTAACTCCTTGGCTTTAAAAAAAACTGAAAAGGAAAGAATAGTTATTTTTTCTTTCAAGTTACCATTCATATCCATATAATCAGTAACTTGCAAGTAATAAAAACTTTATAGCAAGAATGTTGCTCTTGGAAATGGATCTTGGAACATGATAGAAAGCACTGTATTGCTAACATGCTATTATTCTCTCTTGCTCTAGCTCTGTAACAACAAAGGTAACAAGGTCACAAAAATATCCTCTAACAGTGTGTAACACTTGTCAATTTCAAAGTGGTTTAAAAAGACTGCAGGATTATTTGGGGACAGAGTCCTAGAAAAGTGAAGATAAGTACCTTCATTCCAAAGCGAGTGTCGGGTTTATCAGTTCCATAGGTGGCCAGCGCCTCAGTAAAAGTCACAGTGGGAAAAGGAACAACCACAGGATCTTTGTCACTGGGCCAGGAATATTGGAGCAAACCCTCAATTAAACTCTGGATCCCAGTCTGGTCTACAAAAGACATCTCTATGTCAATCTGAAACCAAAGTAACATATGGAAACTAATTTAGCCACAGTATATACATGTTTATGTATTTTTCTGCTTTCAAGTTACTATAGAATTTTGCACATAAATAATACATGCGGAGAGTATAAATATTATTGTACATCTCTTTTATGTCAGACACTGTGCTAATGGCCTTACATACATTAACTTGTTTAGTTCTCACAACTATTGCATGGCTGAAGGCTCAGAGAACTAAGTTACTTATTTGCGTATGTGCAATTAGTAAGCAGCAAAGCTACATCTGATCCCAGGTCTGTCCAACTCCAAAGCTCATAATTTTTTCACTTCAACACACGATTAAAATGCTGTTGGCCAGGTATGGTGGCTCACGCCTGTAAACCCAGCACTTTGGGAGGCCGAGGCAGGCGGATCACGAGGTCAGGAGATCGAGACCATCCTGGCCAACATGGTGAAACCCTGTCTCTAATAAAAACACAAAAAATTAGCTGGACATGGTGGCACGCACCTGTAGTCCCAGCTACTTGGGAGGCTGAGGCAGTTGAATTGCTTGAACCCGGGAGGTAGAGGCTGAAGTGAGCCAAGATTGTGCCACTGCACTCCAGCCTGGGAGACAGAGCAAGACTCTGTCTCAAAAAAAATAAAATAAAATAAAATAAAATAAAATGCTGTTATACAGAAAGCCAATCATAATAGCTTTGGTAAGTCCACATATTAGATTAAAATATCAATATATAAAATTATTCGTTCTTAATATATAAGAGATTTGTTTTAAGGATTTTATCATGAACACTAGAACATGACTTAAGGACTTTATCATGAACATTAGAACACGTTAGGAATTTCTGGCATTCCTTAGTTGCTGACCACATTCTTTATGAAAAGGACACATGCTCGCTTTGGCAGCACATATACTAAAATTGGAATGACAGTGTGGCCCCTGTGCTATCCAAGGAAAGAAAAAAATTTTAAAAAGGACATATGCAATGGATCAAAAAACTGAATAGTTTCTCAACTGCAGGTGAGTTTAATTAACTATCTGATGGATAAAATGTAATGAGAAGTAAAGTATTAATACTGCACTGGTCTTGAAAATACTATTTTAGGCTGGGCACGGTGGCTCACGCCTGTAATTCCAGCACTTTGGGAGGCCAAGGCGGGTGGATCACAAGGTCAGGAGATATACACTATCCTGGTGAATATGGTGAAACCCCGTCTCTACTAAAAATATAGAAAATTAGCCAGACATGGCGGTGTGCGCCTGTAATCCCAGCTACTCAGGAGGCTGAGGCAGGAGGATGGTGTGAACCCAGGAGGCAGAGCTTGCAGTGGGCTGAGATCACGCAACTGCATTCCAGCCTAGGTGACAGAGCAAGACTCTGTCTCAAAACAAACAAACAAACAAACAAACAAAACAACAACAAAAAAAACTATTTTCAAAATAGTAAGCCTGAATTTTAAGAAACAAGTGAATATAACTTTGTACCTGAGTAAATTCAGGCTGTCTGTCTGGTCTTGAACCTTCATCTCGATAACATCGGGCAACCTGAAAATATCTACAAATGAGAAATAGCATTAATTGAGTCATGATTCTAGGAATACATATACACTTTTTCCCAAAAGTTTAAGGCAATGCAAGTTATAAAACAATGATACTGAAAAAATGTAAGAAGGGCCGGCCATGGTGGCTCATGCCTGTAATCCCAGCACTTTGGGAGGCCGAAGCGGGCAGATTGCAATGTCAGGCATTCACAACCAGCCTGGCCAACATGGTGAAACGCTGTCTCTACTAAAAATACAAAAATTAGCCGGGCGTGGTGGTATGTGCCTGTAATCTTAGATACTCGGGAGGCGAAAGGCAGGAGAATCACTTCAACCTGGGAGGCGGAGGTTGCAGTGAGCCAAGATCGCGCCATTGCACTCCAGCGTGGGTGACAGAGCAAGACTCTGTCTCAAAAAAAAAAAAAAGTAAGAAGTACTTTTATTTTTTATGACACTTTAATAGAATTAGATATACAGCTGACCTATGAGAAGTTGTTCTATATATTGTTTTCAAAATAAACACTGGCATCTCTGGATGTTCGTACATTAGACTGGCATGCAAATCAGTCCATGCCAGTTCTTTTTATTAAAACATTTTTTTTAGTCCATGCTTCTTCATATATACTCTTTTGCTTTGACCAAAGTGAAATACTTACTGTACCATGGATACACATGAGACTTTCTGTGCTATGCCATTCCAACTCTTATCTTCAACTGCTGAAATGTAGCTCTGTCCTCAAAGGTCTAGCTCACAAAGTTTTCTAAATTTCCTCAAACAATATAATTTTAAAGCTCTTAATACCTAATTTGCAAATCTCAATACATTTACATTTAGTTTATATCACAGTTGGTTTTATTCATTATCCTATTCTGGCTTACTAGCCTTAACACCTTGAGAGCAGAACCTATTCTTTTTTTTGTTGTTGTTTAAATCCCCTCTCACATCTACTAGCACAGAGCTTTGTACATGGTAGCCACCCAATAAACCTTTAATAAAGGATTATTACGAATTATGAGGGTATTTTATAAGTATTCTCCAAACTCTCAAAAATTTTCTATCCTTCTCTTGAGAACAGAGAGGATTTTGTGTTTCCTTTTTTCCCTTTGTTTTTCTCTTTTCCTTCTCTGACAACTGCTACCATAAAAAAAAGCTCACCTGTCTAAACCGCCAACCATCAAAAGTTGCTTAAACTGTTGAGGACTCTGAGGGAGAGAATAAAACTTTCCAGGTTCCCTGGATGGTACTAAAAACTCTTTGGCACCCTTTCAAAGAGAGAGAGAGAGAGAAGACAGATTATTAAAAAACAAAAACAAACCCAAGATATAACTGACTAGTAGAAGCTGTTACTTCAGTTTATCATTGAATGACTAAAGAACAAAGTTCCTACAATGACAGAGATAATTTCCCACTTATCTTTGAGTCCCTAAAAAGACTTGCACATAATAGGCTTTAAACACCATTATATATGGTAGGTGTTAAGTTTATACTTGTGGAATTGAATTTCCAATTCTGTTAGTAGATGAATGAATGTTGTGTATCATTTCCTATCCAAGTAATTCCTAATTGCATTTCCAAATTAAACTGTAGTTTTATAATTTTATAGACTGTATAAATCGAGTAAATATTAATGTTTAGAAATGTCATTTTTTTTTGAGACAGAGTCTTGCTCTTGTCACCCAGGCTGGAGTGCAATGGCACAATCTTGGCTTGCTGCGACCTCCGCCTCCCGGGTTGAAGTGATTCTCCTGCCTCAGCCTCCCAAGTAGCTGTGATTACAGGCATCTGCCACCACCACACCCCGCTAATTTTTGTATTTTTAGTAGAGACGGGGTTTCGCCATGTTGGCCAGACTGGTCTTGAACTCCTGACCTCGTGATCTGCCCGCCTTGGCCTCCCAAAGTGCTGGGATTACAGGTGTGAGCTACTGCCCCTGGCCAGAAATGTCCATTTTTATTTATTAAAAAGAATTTCTTTTTGAGAGAGAGTCTTGGTCTGTCACCCAGGTTGGAGTGCAGTGGTACAATCTGGGCTCACTGCAAACTCCACCTTCTGGATTCAAGTGATTCTCCTGCCTCGGCCTCTTGAGTAGCTGGGATTACAGGTTCCTGCCACTGCACCTGGCTTTTTTTTTTGAGTTGTTGTCTCACTCTGTCTCCCAGGCTGGAGTGCAATGGCATGATCTTGGCTCATTGCAACCTCCACTTCCTGGGTTCAAGCGATTCTCCTATCTTGGCGTCCTAAGTATTTGGGACTACAGGTGCCTGCCACCACGCCTGGCTAAATTTTTTTTTGTACTTTCAGTAGAGGCGGGGTTTCACCATGTTGGTCAGGCGGGTCTTGAACTCCTGATCTCAGGTGATCCACCCACTTCAGCCTCCCAAAGTACTGGGATTACAGGCATGAGCCACAGTGCCTGGCCTAATTTTTGTACTTTTAGTAGAGACGAGGTTTCACCATGTTGGCCATGGTTGGCCAGGCTGGTCTCTAACTCCTGACCTCAGGATCTGCCCGCCTCGGCCTCCCAGAGTGCTGAGATTATAGGTGTGAGCCACTGCGCCTGGCCGAAAAATGTCAATTTTCAATATATGAGAGACTTATTCTTTAATTTTTTTCCTCTTCCATTTTTTTTTTCCTTTAAAGAGATAGGGTCTTATTGCCCAAGCTGGTCTTGGACTCCTAGAATCAAGTCATCCTCCTTGCTTCAGCCTCCCAAAGTACTAAGACTACATGTATGAGCCACTGCGTCTGGCCAAGAGATTTGTTCTTAAAGAACCAATTCATTGGCTGGGTGCGGTGGCACACACCTGTAATCCCAGCACTTTGGGAGGCCGAGGCAGGTGGATCACCTGAGGTCAGGATTTTGAGACCAGCCTGGCCAACATGGCGAAACCCCGTCTCTACTAAAAAAATACAAAAATTGGCCAGGCACGATGGCTCATGCCTGTAATCTCAGCATTTTGGGAGGCCGAGGCGGATGGATCACGAGGTCAGGAGATCGAAACCATCCTGGCTAACATGGTGAAACCCCATCTCTACTAAAAAATACAAAAAATTAGCCAGGCATGGTGGCGAGCGCCTGTAGTCCCAGCTACGCAGGAGGCTGAGGCAGGAGAATGGCATGAACCTGGGAGGCACAGCTTGCAGTGAGCTGAGATCGCGCCACTGCACTCCAGCCTGGGCAACAGAGCGAGACTCTGTCTAAAAATAAAAAAAGAAAAAAAAGAAAAAATACAAAAATTAACAGGGCATGGTGGCACACACCTGTAGTCCCAGCTCCTTGGGAGGCTGAGGCGGGAGAATCGCTTGAATCTAGTAGGCGGATTCAAGCGACAGAATGTTGACAGAACGAGACTCTGTCTTAAACAAACAAACAAACAATTTATTAATGATTTACATCTTTAAACCTCAAATAAGACCAGGCAAGGTGGCTCACACCTGTAAACCCAGCACTTTGGGAGGCCGAGGTGGGTGGATCATTTCAGGTTAGGTGTTCGAGACCAGCCTGGCCAACATGGTGAAACTCTGTCTCTACTAAAAACACAAAAGTTAGCCAGGCATGGTGGTGCCTGCCTGTAATCCCAACTACTCAGGAGGCTGAGCCATGAGAATTGCTTGAATCCAGTAGGCAGAGGTTGCAGTGAGCTGAGATCATGTCACTGCACTCCAGCCTGGATGATGGAGTTAGACTCTGTCTCAAAAAACAAACAAACAAACAAACAAAAAAAAAACCCAAAACAAACCAAAAAACAAACAAACAAAAAAACTCAAAGGAAAGAATACTTACGTGGAATAAAATGATTCTGACTCAAAATACCCAAATAATTTTCTCAGTTCTTCAGAAAAACCTAGTTAATATGACCATCCTGAGGCAGTAAATAAAATAAAAGTGGACCAAGTGAATATAAAGGCAAAGTGGTCTAGCTTTATAACTAATAGGACATATTTAATAGACTGATTGAAGGAATATACATACCCCTGGGGTCCTCTTAAACAATGTGGGGGTTTCTATATCCACAAACCCTAAAAAGAGAGAAACATTATCACTTAGTAGATAGGAATGTGAAATTTGTCATATATGATGTCCACAATATAGTACAACAAATCTGAGGCTTCCCTTTAATTAAGAATTTTAGCTGAAATAAGCTACCAAGTCTACTGGTGCTGGTTTCTACAAATCTAAGAAGGAAGCTGAAGATTTTCATAAATACTATTCTGTTCATAAAGCATACTGTCCACATAAAATAATTCTAAATATTTAATGGATTCTTGTCTACTGAACTATTCTGATTTTTAAAATGTTCTATTAGTGTAGAAATAATACAAATGTAGCAGAAAAAGTCCAGGACTGAATGAGATGTCTAGTTTAATTCACATGACATTTTGAGCTCCCAATAAATGATGTATGCACATGATAAAGAATTAAGAAAACTGGCTGGGTATCGTGATTCATGCCTGTAATCCCAGCACTTTGGGATGGCTAGTGGGAGGACTGCTTAAACCCAGAAGTTTGAGACCAGCCTGGGCAACATAATGAGACCCTGTCTCTACAAAAAATTTTTAAAAATTGGCTGGAGGTCGGGTGCGGTGGCTCATGCCTGTAATTCCAGCACTTTGGGAGGTGGATCACGAGGTCAGGAGATGGAGACCATCCTGGCTAACACGGTGAAACCCCATCTCTACTAAAAATATAAAAAATTAGCCAGGTGTGGTGGCAGGTGCCTGTAGTCCTGGCTACTTGGGAGGCTGAGGCAGGAGAATGGCGTGAACCTGGGAGACAGAGCTTGCAGTGAGCCGAGACCATGCGACTGCACTCCAGCCTGGGTGACAGACCAAGACTGCGTCTCAAAAGAAAAAAAAAAAAAAATTGGCTGGGTATGGTGATGCTTGTCTGTGGTCCTAGCTACTTGGGAAGGTGTGGCGGGAGGATCACTTGAGCCTAAAAGGTTGAGGCTGCAGTGAGTTGTGGTCATGCCACTGCCCTTTAGACAGAGCAAAACTCTGTCTCAAAAGAAAAAAAGAAAAGAAATATTATAGAAAAAGCCAAAGGGCTGTCCTGCCTTTGATAATGATGGGAAATACTATCATACATTAATCAATGTAATAGCCACTATCATCTTTAAAATAATGTTAACTTTTCTTCAAAAACTATATTACACATTGAGTGAATTCCAGACTTCTGGCAACATCTGACCTGATGCTAAGGAAAATATACAATAAAACTGCTGAATAAAATAGAAGAGATGCTAAAAAGCTCCAAAGAGCATCCAGGCATTTCTCTTACCATGTAGATTACAGAGATATTCCCGCATCTTCATGACCATCTGGGACCTCAGTCGCAGGTTATATTGCATTTGGAAACTACGCAAATCTAAGTAGCGATACTGCAACCGAAGAGCCTCTGTTTTCTAAAGAAATTGAAAGATTTTTATATTTAAATATTTTTCAATATTAGAAAGGTATTATCTTTAGAAATAGAGTTTGAATTTTCAAAAACTTTAGCTCTGTCTTTAGTTTCTATCATCAAGTAGCCCACTGTATGCTGTTAATTCCTACAACTTCTAAGTTTGTCAGTAGTGCAGATTTTACATTTTTTTACTATTCATTATTATTAATATCACTCTTCACTGACTGAAATTTGCCTACTTGACTAAAAAGTAGCTCCATCAACCCCTTAAACTTTGGCAAAGAACATTCTAAATTATAGTAATCCTACTTATATTTATATGCTTGGGAAGTCAAGAGTTGCTCTAAGCACACATTTTATCACTTAATAGGTATAGGATCCCCTGTCCCATTTGGCCATTTCTAAGCTAGACATAATTTCCTTTCAAATGTTAAACAATAGCAACAAAAAATGTGAATAATATAACGCCTCAAGTTTTAAAGAGAGAATCACATTTTCATCTGTTGGAAAAAACAGTCTAGGTATTTAGGGACTGCAACAGTTTATTGAACTGTCACTATTTCAGAACCGTTTGTCAAGAGGTTGTACAACTAAGTAAACACTTCATGATGTGTCTACAATAAAATGTTTAATTTTGTAGAAGTTCAAGTTTTCTTTAAAAAAAACTCTGAAAATACTTGACTAGTCATCAACATTTTCTAGATACTCTATTTGATTAATAACAGAGGATGGTACCTTCATGAAGTCCTTAATTTCAAAGGGCAGCTTCTTGCAGGCATTCAGAAGTTCAGCTGTTTTAACTTTGATTTCAATCTCACCTGTTGGCATTTTCTTGGAGTGAGAAAGGAAGTGTTTTAAAAATTACTCATTAGGATATACACAAAATACACATTTGTAGAACATATGCATTTATTTACATATGGAAAATGTGCAAAGTCCTTCTAGTGTATAGTGTATAGTATAAAGCATACGTGTCTGTGCATGATTTTGACATTCTTATGCGTCTCTGTGGCTGATGTGTTCAGACATCAACAAATGTCATGGCATATCCTTGCAGTTTGATACTTGGGAGGCTGAGACAGGAGGATCACTGAAGCCCAGGAGTTCAAGAGCAGCCTGGGCAATACTGCAAGACCCCTGTCTTCAAAGAAAAAAAGGGCGGGGCACGATGGCTCACACCTGTAATCCTGGCACTTTGGGAGGCTGAGATGGGCAGATCATGAGGTCAAGAGATGGAGACCATCCTGGCCAACATGGTGAAAGCCTCTCTTTACTAAAAATACAAAAATTAGCTGGGCGTGGTGGCACGCGCCTGTAGTCCCAGCTACTTGGGAGGCTGAGGCAGGAGAATCGCTTGAACCCAGGAGGCAGAGGTTGCAGTGAGCTGAGACTGTGCCACTGTACTCCAGTCTGGCGACAGAGCAAGACTTAGCATGCATATTTACATAGATGTGTGTGTTTATAGTCAAGATTTTGAAATCTGTCAGTTCATTTGTAGAATTTATTCATCGTTAGTGCCTAATGTCCAGTTATGTGTTGCCAGAATGTGTACACAGACAGTGCAAATGCATACAACAAAAATTACACAGTTATCTTCGAAAGTACTTACTGGATTCTCCTGTCCTGCAGGACGGGAAATGACTGTACCAGACACTTGCACCACAGATTCTACAGGGGCTTCACATAAAATCTTCCTCACAGAGGCTGCCGACTACAGAACAAGGGGGAAAAGAGTTCTGAGAAACAAATGAACTTACAGGAATCTTCAGTAATTGTAAGTCTATGGTTTTAAAAACGTTAATAGTCACAGCTTAATTACCATACAGGCTGGGACTGCTCCTTAATGACTTTATTACCAAATTTAGTAAAAATTGCATCCCCATTTTGACTCTATATAATACAGCGAGTAAAGCTACTAGTTAAGAGCTTTAAAAAAACTTTCCTTAAAGGAAAATAAGGATAAGAGTGACTATTATTGTAATAAGTCCCACATACTTGAAAAGCAATTGTCTCCAGGGTTAGTCTTAGGGACAGTTAAATCCAATAGCAATAATGAGTCAAAGTCAAAGGAGTTCTCCAGGGTTAGCTATACTCATCTCTGGATGTTGATCCCTAAAAGATAATTCACTGCTCTTTATTTATTTCAAAACTTAAGAGCTGAATAATTAATATTTTTCTTAGGCATACAAGCATTAGTAAAAATTACAATAGAAACCAACTTTGCCCAATAAGTATGATAGAAGTTCTTTATTTTATCTAATTCTTTAATTTTAATTTTTTTTTTTTTTGACACAGGGTATCACTCTGGTTGCTGAGGCTGCAGTGCAGTGGTGTGATTTTGACTCACTTCAGCCTCAACCTCCTGGGCTCAGGAGATTCTCCCAATTCAGCCTCCCAAGTAGCTGGGATTATAGGCGCACGCCATCATGCCCAGCTAATTTTTTGTATTATGATTATTGTTTTTGAGATGGAGTCTTGCTTTGTCGCCCACGCTAGAGTACAGTGGTGCAATCTTGGCCCACTGCAACCTCTGCCTCCTAGGTTCAAGTAATTCTCCTGCCTCAGCCTCCTGAGTAGCTGGGGTTACAGGCGTCCACGACCACACCTGGCTAAATTTTTGTATTTTTAATAGAGACAGGGTTTCACCATGTTGGTCAGGCTGGTCTTGAACTCCTGACTTCGACATCCACCCGCCTCAGCCTCCCAAAAGTGCTGGGATTACAGGTGTGAGCCACCGCACCTGGCCAATTTTTTGTATTTTTAATAGAGATGAGGTTTTACTCTGTTGCCCAGGCTGGTCTCAACTCCTATACTCAATCTGCTGGCCTCGGCCTCCCAGAGCGCTGAGATTACAGGTGTGAGCCACCACGCCTGGCCTTGAATTTTTTAACTAAAAAAATTGTTTTTTCATAATATCACTCTGTCATATTGTATCTAATTTCAATGGTAATTAAATTAAATACTTTTTGAGCAGTTAGTACCTTCACATGGCTTCAAATTCAAAGGGTACAAAAAGATACAGTGAAAAGTTTCCCCCCATCCTTGTTTTCAAGGCCCTCAGTTCCTTCCCCTAGTAGCACCCAGTGTTACCAGATATTTAGGTATCCTTCCAGAGACATTTCATAACATATATACAAGCAAATGCACACACACACACACACACTGAATATATATTCTGTCTCCTTCCCCTAGTTTTTATACAGAAGACAGCACTAGAGTGCTGGAGTTTCATAGCTGCTCTTCTGTATACTCAAGAATACCGGTTCTTCACTTAACAGTATTCCTTGGATTTTTTTTCGCTATTAGAATAGAACTTCTTCATTCTTTTTTGTATGGCTGAGCAGAGTATCTTATTGTAAGAATATACATTATTTTTTAAGCCAGTCTCTTATTGGAGGACATCCGGGTGGTTCCCAATTTTTTCTATTAAAAAGAATCCTGAAATGAATATCCTTGTACATATGTTATTTTGTATCTGTATAAGTCTAGATATAAGATAATTTACCAGAAGTGAAATTAATGGCTCAAAGGATATATGCATTTATAGTTTTGATATTGCCAAATTGCTCTCCCTTCAGCTAGTGCCAATTTGTATTCCCTCCAGGAATTGAGCACCTGCTTTCCCAAACACAGTGTGTTGTCAATCTAATGTGTTAAAAATGACAATTACATGCAGTTTTAATTCACATTTCTCTACCTATGAGTGAGGCTGGGCATACTTTCATTATGTCTACAAGCCATTTATGTATTTCTTTCCTCTAAAGTTTTTGTTCATATCCTAGGTTCAAAATTCTACTGGGTCACTAGTCTTTTTGCCATGTCTTAACATTGCTTATGATATTTTTCAGTTTTCATTAACAATAAACTTCTGAATTTAAAACCTCTAACATATTCATCTAACTACTTAGCTTACCCTAGCCACAGCATCAAAGAGGCTTTCAGATAATAACAGTAAATTTTCTATTACCTCATCCTGCGGAATGACAACTTGAACAAGCCCATGGAAATCTCTTAGGACCAAGAATGTGTTTTGCCTGATTAATGGGAGGGGGAAAAAAAAGGAACATTTTAAGATAAAATCTCTAAGTCCAAAGTTTAAGCAGACAAAATAAAAAACAAAAATCCATGCAATTTTTCATGTTTCTTTTTTATGATAATTACAATTTTTCATGTTTCTTTTTTATAATTATGTATTTTCTTTACATTCATGCAGTTGTTATCTATGTAGCTCATTGATGAAAAAATATTGTTTTTCATTTCAGTTTCAATTTTTATTGTTTACTTATCTGATATATTAATCTTATACAGATGGCTTATTAATAAAAAATTATTATAGATGAATAATTAAAAAAATTTTTATTGGCTTAAGTCCTTATAAGAAAATTTTATTAAATTTGGAAACTTTGCACATAGTAAAATCCAAAGATAATATTTTAGCATAATGGAAACATCTGATGGATCATTTTTGAAATATGGCAATATAAAGTCTTTTTCTAAAAAAAGATACAATCTAAAATTTTCTGGAAGAGTTCCAACTACTAATTTAATACCTCTCTGAATCATCAAAAGGTCCTAGAAATGCCAATCTCTATTTCTCATAGTGTCCTCAGCACCAGGAACAGGTACAGAAACCCTCTTCAGATTTGGGTTCAGGAAACAAAGTCACTACACTTATGGGAAAACTATCCACCTACTTGGGACAAACTCCTTTTTTTTTTTTTTTTTGGAGTCTTGTTCTGTCGCCCAGGCTGGAGTGCAGTGGCACGATCTCAGCTCGCTGCAGCCTCTGCCTCCTGGGTTCGAGCAATTCTCCTGCCTCAGCCTCCTGAGTAGCTAGGATTACAGACGTGCGCCACCCCGCCTGGCTAATTTTTTTGTGTTTTTAGTAGAAATGGGGTTTCATCATGTTGGCCGGGCTGGTCTCGAACTCCTAACCTCCTGATCCGCCCGCCTCAGCCTCCCAAAGTGCTGGGATTACAGGCTTAGGCGCCAGGCTGGGACATATTCTTTAAGAAGGTCATTGGCTGGGCGCGGTGGCTCAAGCCTGTAATCCCAGCACTTTGGGAGGCTGAGACGGGCGGATCACGAGGTCAGGAGATCGAGACCATCCTCGCTAACATGGTGAAACCCCGTCTCTACTAAAAAATACAAAAAACTAGCCGGACGAGGTGGCGGGCGCCTGTAGTCCCAGCTACTCGGGAGGCTAAGGCAGGAGAATGGCGTAAACCCGGGAGGTGGAGCTTGCAGTGAGCTGAGATCTGGCCACTGCACTCCAGCCTGGGCGAGAGAGCTAGACTCCATCTCAAAAAAAAAAAAAAAAAAAAAAAAGAAGGTCATACAACCTATGTATTTTGGATCTCTTCCATGTGAATTAATGTACTATTCAGGAATGTTCTGGAATAGAGAGATGAACAACAACAAAAAATGGGCTCTGATCTTAAAGAATCACTGTTTCTGGGCTTGTTCTCTACCTAAATGGAATAAAACGAGCTTTCTCCCCCATGCTATTGGAGTTTAACAGCTGGTTTATAGGAGGCTGGCCCATTTTTAATTACTGGTCATAGGAACTCTTCAGTCTTAGTAAGCCCAGTGTCATTTCAGTCCATTGGGTGGATCAAGCTTCACTGTTATAACCTTCAACAGATGTTACTGGTACCTACTGAGAATGACACTTGGGCCTTTCAAAACAAAGTTGAAAATTCAGTAAATTCTTAAACCCGCAGGAGTTGCAAAACGTTTTATTCTTCGGACTGGTTGTAAATTAGTAAAGGTTTAGAATTGCCCTGGGAAAACCACCACCATGCATTCTTAGACTGTCTTCCTCAATTTACCTTCGGTACTGAATCCATCCACACAAGGTGACTTCTTGGCCTAAGTGAGATGAACGCAACTCTCCACATGTGTTGGTCCGGACAGCAAAGCTACTGAATTCTTTTTTTTAAAAAAAAAAAAAGAAAAGAAACTTTAAAAGGCAAGATTAAAAATACATCACTTGCAGGTTGCTTAAAAATAAAAATTCTCAAAATACATCTTAGGTATGTCAGGGAAACAGGTCATTCACTATTAAATTTACCTGCAAATGTGTCAAAAGCCAAGTGAATAACCGTAAATTTCTGTCTTGTGTTAGGAAATCAAAATTTTTTTGATCTTCTAGTATTTGCATTTACCTAAAATCCTAATTACCCAATTCTTAATACTGCACATTTCTTCCCCAAATGAAATAGGATTTTAGAAACTGTAGAAATGGATGGTGCAGGAACTATTTAGTTTTAATATGAATCTACTGTTTAACAGCCACTTGTACACTAGAAAACACTATTATATTCTGTGAAAAATGATTTTTTTTTTTTTTTTTTGAGACGGAGTCTCACTTTGTTGCCCAGGCTGGAGTGCAGTGGCGCGATCTCAGTTCACTGCAAGCTCCGCCTCCCGGGTTCACGCCATTCTCCTGCCTCTGCCTCCCCAGTAGCTGGGACTACAGGCGCCCACCACCACGCCCGGCTAATGTTTTTTTTTTTTTTTTGGTATTATTAGTAGAGACGGGTTTCACTGTGTTAGCCAGGATGATCTCGATCTCCTGACCTCATGATCCGCCCGCCTCGGCCTCCCAAAGTGCTGGGATTACAGGCGTGAGCCACCGCGCCCGGCCGAAAAAGGATTTTTTAAGGTATGAACCAAAAGTAGAGTATTCTATATATTACGTGGTTACCTTTTTGTGGTCTTTCTAAAAACTCAGGGAAAAAATCTGCCTTATAATGAATGAAAAGAGTGAATGATCTGCTTCTACACATAAGGCTATCCAGTTAAGAATGGGGGAAAATATGGAATAAAAGCTCTCTGGTCGTAGATAACAGGTTGAAGTACTGTTCATAGGACAGATCTCTTCGCTATTTTCACCTGGATTTCTCCTCTGTGAACTCTGCACCAGACTTCTGTAGAGAGAACCCCAGATCGGTTGGGTGGTCCTTCGGATGGGTCTGGATAAACCCCTGTACAGCTGACTTAACCAAGAAGGGAAGTACATGTTGGAGCCACACGATGGCGAAAAACAATCACGAATCCCACGCTGCCGGTAGTTAAAAGTCAGCTTTCGAAATACACAGAAATTCCAGGAGTTCCCACTCCCTTCTCGAATATTTAAGTCCTCCGCACAACATTCGAGTACACGTGTCTAGAAACAAGACAAATCTCCAAGGCCTCTGGGTTGCTTGATGGGGTGGAGATAAGGGAAAGACCTTTCCCCGAGTCTTAAAGCATCAGTCTGCACTTCTACTCAACAAGTCTGCAACCCAAAGTGACGAAGAGAGAGCGACTCCACGTAGCTGCGCCAGGCGCGAGCCCCACAACCAGAGGCGGTCACTAGGCATACGCCCTACCCTTCTTTCCACGCTTCCCGAGAGGCTCCCGCGGCCAGAACCGGCAAACAAGGAGTAACAGTCGCGTTTCAAATCTCGCAGACCTGCTGGCCGATCTCGAGTCTTCTGAAAGAGGAAGGCGAGCAAAGCCAAAATCCTCCCAGAGTCCGAACCCAAACACAGATCGCCGTGGGGGTCCAAGCGCCCTTCAACTCCGCCCTCTAGTGCCCAAGATTACGGGGAAGGAATTCAACGAATCAGTGGTGAGGTGCCGCCGCCATGCTTACTACGGGCGGAAATTTGAGAGAAAGCTGGGCACCTGTAGGGAAACGGACGAGCAACCGAGCACGATTGGAAAGGTTGACGATAGCGGTTAAGTGGCTCGGCCTTGCCCTCAGTTAAAATGGCAATTTTAGTTGCTTCACTGATACGGAATCGGCGAGGCGCTAAGGAGGCTTCCTGCGTGGAGCCGCAGAGCGAGTCGGGAAACGATTTTAAACTGAAGAGGCGGCGGAGGACCGAATTGCCTTTTCACAACGGCGTGATTTCAGAGCTGGGCTGGTCTCTGACAGGTTCAGCTGAAGAGGGACGGGTTGGGACGCACTGTCCTTTTGCCCTTCCCCCTTCGCCAGCAGAAGCTGACTCCGCAGGAGCGAGGGTCGCAGAGCTGGGTGAGCGGAAATGTGCCTCCCAGAGTGAAGTCGCAGGGCCCGCCCCGCGTCTGAGGGAGTGGAGGTCTTCCTGGGTGCGTTTGTGTCTCTTGTGAACCCACTTGTGGTGGAGCGAGAGGGAATTTGGGAGGGCCAAGGGTTAGTCTGGCCTCTCTCTTAGCTGTCATTTTGGCGGGTTTTTTTTTTTTTCTTTCTTTCTTTCTTCAGGGGATTTAAGTCTCGACATAGTTTTGGAGCCGGACTTTTGAAGAATGATTGATGAATCCGGAATGGGTGACAGCGTCATCACGGCATTTTATTGGTAAAAATGCTTTGTATTGGTTCCGGACCTGCTTTAACTTTGTATTTGCCCTGCTGTGTGGTCATTATCTTCACAATACTTGTGTGTTGAGGTGTGTTTAAGCACTACGTGCATAATACCCGACTAAGTATTGGCATTAGGGCGGTTGGATTTAGGTATTGGTGGCAATGTAGAAAAGTGATCAAGTCAGCCCCTTCACGAACTAACCACAAGAGAAACAACAAAGCTTTACTTGTGTGCTGTGAACTACAACTACAAGTGGAATTGTCAAGAGAACTAGCCCTGCCAAGCTCTGGAAAACTTCTGAGGAGATGGCACATGCAGAATGGATAAGATTTGCTCAGACAAACGGGAGTAGAGAAGCATTTTTAGTTGTCGATAAGGTGAATAAAAAGGCAGGGAGAATAGTAGAGTGATCATCTGTCTAGAGTAGGGGGTGCGTGTTTGGCTATATGGCTGTGATTTAACCTTTTAAAGAATTGTCTACTGGAACTTTCTTCACTCCCACCTCCCCTCATCTCCCAGTGTTGTATACAAAATCTTAGAGGAAGTGTATGCAGAATGTTGGATTTTGGAAAGGCTACTTAGGGTATGAACTGAAGTAGTAGAAAATGAACCTGGATAGGATCAGATAATAAGATCAAATACAGTAGTGCCTTGAAAACCAGACAGGAATTCTGATTCGACTTCATATAGATGTATGGGAACTGTTATGGGATCTCAAGCAAGGTAATGATAAAAGTGGTGACAATGAAAGACTGATGATGGATTAGGGAAAGGGGCTAAGATTGGGAATAAGATAAGTAGCTATAATTGAGAATGAGAGTGAAGCCCACATCTAAGAGGACAAGTGTATATCTTTTTAAGAAATATGTCAGAGGCCAGGTGTGGTGGCTTATGCCTGTAATCCCAGCACTTTGGGAGGCCAAGGCAGGCGGATCATCTGAGGTCAGGAGTTCAAGACCAGCCTGGCCAACATGGTGAAACCCCATCTCTACCAAAAAATACAAAAATTAGCCAGGCATGGTGGTGCACGCCTGTAGTCCCAGCTACTTGGAGGCTGAGGCAGGAGAATCACTTGAACCTGGGAGGTGGAGGTTGCAGTGAGCCAAGATCGCACCAATGCACTGCAGCCTGGGAGACAGAGTGAGACTCTGTCTTAAAAAAAAAAAATGTCAGAATTTGATGATAAAGTTAACAAAGTAACAAAGTTAACTTTTTAGATGTAAAGGTGATGTTGAAGGAAGAGTAAAAGATGATGAAAGTATTTTTTTAGTGGGGAAAGAAAACAGAAGAATGGAATTATTACTGAGCAAAACAGAGTACAGTAGTTGGCAAAGAAAGATTGAATGAGATGTGAAGTGATGATTAGTTTTGAACTTAATGAGTCTGACAACATGAAAGTTTAACATCTTATAGGAAGTTGGAAATGCAGGACTGGGTTGCAGTTGTAATGGTCTGAAGGTAGAGATTTAGGAGTCATAGAGAATGATTATTTTCCTATGTAGAATGAATGATTTTCAGAGTCTGGGGCCACCTATTATTGGAACATGAGGGAAAAAAAGAATCAGTACAGAAATTGGAACTATAAAAAGTAAGGAGGAGAAAAGCCCCTAAAAAGTGGAGTGTCAGGAAACAAGGTCCCAGAAAGTTTAGAGGAGGAAGGATGAACAAACTTGATGAACAAAGTATTTGGCCATGGTTTTGGCAAAAATAATGATCTTCAAAAGTGCAGTTTCTTTATAGTGATAGGTGGAAAAAAGAGATTACTGAAGATTTCTAGTAAAATATTTATTAGTAACTGGAGGCAATAGGTGTAGACCACATTTCCAGGAGATTGGTCTCAGAAGGAATGAGATGAATCGGATTTAAACACAAATTTTTAATGTTAGAAATACTAGAATATGCTTGGCAATGAAAGAAAAGGATCCTGTATAGGAGTGATTAAAGATAATAGAGAAGTGAAGTACAGCCTGGTGTGGCAGTGCATGCCTGTAGTCCCAGCTACTCAAGAGGCTGAGGTAGGAGGATCGCTTGAGCCCAGGAGGTCGAGGCTGCAGTGGTATTGGGCCACTGCACTCCAGCCTGGACAACAGAGTGAGACCCTGTCTCAAAAAAAAAAAAAAAAAGTTGAAGTACACAAAGGAGATGGTGTCCAGGGGAGATACAAGTAAGAGGACCTTTTTGCTTCTGATTGGAAGGAAGAGTATTGGGACAGTAATATATTGATTCAAGGTATAGTTATAACATCTTGATTATTGTGCTGGGCAAAATTACACATTCTTGAGTGTGAGATGAGAAGGTAAAGTAAATATAACTCATTTGCTAATCTTTAATTCATGGATTGGGCTATTTTGTTTTACTTTAACATTAAATACTCAACGGACATATTTTTTCAAAACCATCCCTCTTAGTGCCGATAGTGTTTTTCTCATCTCATTTATTGCTAGACTTTTTAAAGTCAGCTAGACTTTAAAATCTTTTTGGAATTCATAGCATTTCTCTTTTAAGGAGTCAAATTCAGCAGGGCTTATATTGCCTCATAATTGATCCCTGTTTAAAAGGCAACGTGAAAGAAGTAGCTAAGTGCACTCATTGCAGAGTTAGACTGCCTGGATTCAAATCCTAACTCTTCCACTCTAACTGGTTGACTTTGGTAAGTTACTTAACTTGTCTGATTTCCTGTTTGTCAGCTGGGAGCATGATCTACTTCATGGGGTTGTTTGAAGATTAAATGAGAAAATATAAAGGGCTTAGAAGAGTACCTGAAACGTGATGAATGCTCAATAAGTGTTAGCAATTATTGCACCAAGTAACAAATTTGAAGGAAACATTCTGTGTAAGTAGTACTGATTAAAATTCCCTTTGAAAGAGGTAATTCAATGTGCATGTAAAGCTAGGATGCTTTAGAGTAGCTGCTATTTAAATTGTGTGGCGTCTAATGTAGAGTCCTGTATTCACCACAGTGAAGATACAGTTCCATCACCACAAGGAATTCTTGTGTTGCCTTTTTATAGTCACATTTATGTCCCGCCCACCCTCTTCCCTTTCCCTAATCTCTGTCAGCCATTCATCTGTTCTTCATTCCTTTAATTTGTCATTTAAAAAATGTTAAATGTATGAAATTTTATATGTGACCTTTTTGGATTGGCTTTAACATCCAAGTTGTTGCATGTATCAATAATTTGTTTCTTTTCATTGCAGAGTACTATTACATGGTGTGGATGTACCATAGTTTATTTAATCATTCACCCACTGAGTCATTTTCAATTTTTGGCTATTATGAATAAAGCTAATATGAACATTTGTAAAAATAAATAAATAAATTGTGTGGTATATGAACTTGCTCTGGACATCATTTGAGCTTTAAGGACAAATAATGCTACATGTTTAGTTTATGTATTTATTTATTAATTAGAGAGGATCTCACTCTGTTGCCCAGGCTAAAGTGCAGTGGTGCAATCATTGCACATTACAGCCTTAAACTCCTGGACTCAAGCAGTCCTCCTGCCTCAGCCTCTCAAGTGGCTAGGACTACCACCATGCCAGGCTAATTTTTTTCTTTTTTTTTTTTTGAGAGAGGGGGTCTTGCTATGTTGTCCATACTAGGACTACATGTTTAATTTATGGAGTTTTGTGCAAGATATAAATGGTGTCCTAGTCTAACATATTGAAATTGAAGATACAGGTTGAGCATCCCTAATTAGAAAATCTGAAGTCTGAAATGCCCCATAATGTGAATCTTTTTGAGCACTGACATGATGTTGGAAGGAAATGTTCACTGGAGCATTTTGGATTTCAGATTTTTGGATTAAGGATGCTTGACCAGTGTGTTACAAATATTCCCAAATTTGACAAAAGCTGAAATCCAAAAACACTTTTGGTCCTAAGCATTTCGGATAAGGGATGCTCAACCTGTACTATTTTAAATATAACACTATTTAAATATGGACTGAGTGCGGTGGCTAACGCCTGTAATCCCATCACTTTGGGAGGCTGGTGGATCACCTGAGGTCAGGAGTTCAAGACCAGCCTGGCCAACGTGGTGAAACCCTGTCTCTGTCTCTACTAAAAATACAAAAAAAAAAAAAAAAAAAAAAAGAGTGAGGCGTGGTGGTGGGCGCCTGTAATCTCAGCTGCTTGGAAAGCTGAGGCAAGAGAATTGCTGGAGCCTGGGAGGCAGAGGTTGCAGTGAGCCGGGATCGTGCAGTTGCACTCCAGCCCAGATAACAGTTAGACTCCATCACAAAAAATAAAATAAAATAATATGAGTAAATATAGTAATATAACTTTTTATTCATAAAAAACTTTTCAAAGGGGTAATTGTGTAGTAGTTGAGACTAATCATAACTTTGTTGTTGTTGTTGTTGCTGAGATGGAGTCTTGCTCTGTCTCACCCAGGCTGGAGTACAGTGGCATGATCTCAGCTCAATGAAGCCTCCACCTCCCAAGTTCAAGAGATTCTCCTGTCTCTGCCTGCTGAGTAGCTGGGACTACAGATGTGTGCCACCATACCCAGCTAATTTTTGTATTTTTAGTAGAGACGGGGTTTCACCATGTTGGCCAGGCTGGTCTCAAACTTCTGACCACAGGTGATCCACTTTTCCTTGGCCTCCCAAAGTGCTGGAATTATAGGCGTGAGCCACTACGCCCGGCCGAGACTAATCATAACTTTGAAATGATAATTCCTTTTAATGAAAATTGTATTTTAATTTTGTGTGTCTTTTTTTTCTTGAGAGGGTCTTGCTCTGTCACCCAGGCTGGAATTCAGTGGCATGATCACATCTCACTGCAGCCTTGACCTCCTGGGCTCATGCAGTCCTACTTCAGCCTCCTGATTAGCTGGGACCACAGGCGTGCACCACCACACCTGGCTAGTTATTTTTTATTTTTTGTAGAGATGGAGTCTCACAGTGTTGCCCAGGCTTGTCTCAGACATCTGGGCTCAAGTGATCCACCTGCTTCAGCCTCCCAAAATGTTGGGATTACAGTCATGAGCTACCATGCCTGGCCCTAATTTGAAAGTTCTATGAAGGCCAGGCGCGGTGGCTCAAGCCTGTAATCCCAGCACTTTGGGAGGCCCAGACAGGTGGATCATGAGGTCAGGAGATCGAGACCATCCTGGCTAACACGGTGAAACCCCGTCTCTACTAAAAAATACAAAAAACTAGCCGGGCGTGGTGGCGGGCGCCTGTAGTCCCAGCTACTCGGGAGGCTGAGGCAGGAGAATGGCGTAAACCTGGGAGACGGAGCTTGCAGTGAGCTGAGATCCGGCCACTGCACTCCAGCCTGGGCGACAGAGCGAGACTCCGTCTCAAAAAAAAAAAAGAAAAAAAAAGACAGTTCTATGAAATACTTCCATTTAATTGAACCAATACTTGTTTAACAATTAAAGGACACTCAGCATTGTATTTGGGTAATTATACATACACTGGGAAATATAAAGCATGGTTTCAGTGACAGTAGCTTAGTATTACTGGGGATACAAGAAATACACACTAAAAAATGGTACAAGGAAGTATATGAACAGGGGCTAAAATGAGTGGTACAGACTGGGTGATTGAGGAAAGTTATGTGTGCTGATATATCTCCAAGGATGTTGTAGAACATTCTTGAGGGATTTTTTCAGACTTAGAGATGAGAGCTCATATAGCACACACACACATGCATACTCTGCTTCCAGGAATGAGCCACTGATAACAGATAAAAGTCTATGTCATAGGTATTTCAGGACCGAAAGGTTAAAAACACCCTATTTTCAAAGGAGATCAAATTTCTAGCATGGTCTTAAAGGAGGTGAGATGGGAAAAGGATGCTTAAGGTAGGGAATATAGCTGAGAAGCAACTACATGAAGATAAGAATATGTTTATGTCCCAGGTTGGAGAGGAGAATTAGGAAGATAAGGAGAAGCTGAATTAGAAAGATCTTAAACCCAGCAGAAGAGTTTAGGATTTGTCTTGTTAGTGTAAAGGTTGTTGCACAGATAAAAATCAAGTCTATTTCTGGAAGAATGGATTACTCTTAGATACGGAGAACTCTTAGTTGTGGCTAAGGAATTAGCTTTGTGAAGGGATGACAGATTCTTTTTTTTTTTTTAACATTTTTTAAAAATTTATTTTTTTGTTATACTTTAAGTTCTAGGGTACATGTGCACAATGTGCAGGTTTGTTACATAGGTATACATGTGCCATGTTGGTTTGCTGCATCCATCAACTTGTCATTTACATCAGGTATATCTCCTAATGCTATCCCTCCCTCAGCCCCTGACCCCCTGACAGGCCCTGGTGTGTGATGTTCCCCGCCCTGTGTCCAAGTGTTTTCATTGATCAGTTCCCACCTGTGAGTGAGAACATGCAGTGTCTGGTTGTCTGTCTTTGTGATAGTTTGCTGAGAATGGTGGTTTCCAGCTTCATCCATGTCCCTGCAAAGTACATGAACTCACCCTTTTTTATGGCTGCATAGCTTTCCGTGGTGTATATATGCCACATTTTCTTAATCCAGTCTATTATTGATGGACATTTGGGTTGGTTCCAAGTCTTTGCTATTGTGAATAGTGCCGCAATAAACATATGTGTGCATGTGTCTTTATAATAACATGATTGATAATCCTTTGGGTATATACCAAGTAACGGGATTGCTAGGTCAAATGGTACTTCTAGTTCTAGATCCTTGAGGAATCGCCACACTGTTTTCCACAAAAGTTGAACTAATTTACACTCCCACCAACAGTGTAAAAGCATTCCTATTTCTCCACATCCTCTCCAGCATCTGTTGTTTCCTGTTGTTTTAATGATCGCCATTCTAACTGGCGTAAGATATTATCTCATTGTGGTTTTAATTTGCATTTCTCTGATGGCCAGTGATGATGAGCATTTTTTCATGTGTCTTTTGGCTTCATAAATGTCTTCTTTTGAGAAGTGTCTGTTCATATCCTTTGCCCACTTTTTGATGGGGTTGTTTGTTTTTTTCTTGTAAATTTGTTTAAGTTCTTTGCAGATTCTGGATATTAGCCCTTTGTCAGATGAGTAGATTGCAAAAATTTTCTCCCATTCTATAGGTTGCCTGTTCACTCTGATGGTAGTTTCTTTTGCCGTGCAGAAGGTCTTTAGTTTTTTTTTTTTTCCAAGACGGAGTCTTGCTCTGTCACCCAGGCTGGAGTGCAGTGGCACAATTTCGGCTCACTGCAACCTCCACCTCCCCGGGTTCAGTGATTCTCTTGCCTCAGCCTCCCAAGTGGCTGGGATTACAGGCACATGTCACCATGCCCGGCTAATTTTTGTATTTTTAGTAGAAACGGGGTTTCACCATATTGGCAAGGTTGGTCTTGAGCTCCTGACCTTGTGATCTGCCTGCCTCGGCCTCCCAGAATGCTGGGATTACAGGCATGAGCCACTGCGCCCAGCCTGGTCTTTAGTTTGATTAGATCCCATTTGTCTATTTTGGCTTTTTTTGCCATTGCTTTTGGTGTTTTAGTCATGAAGTCCTTGCCCATGCCTATGTCCTGATTGGTATTGCCTCGGTTTTCTTCTAGGGTTTTTATGGTTTTAGGTCTAACAATTACATCTTTAATCCATCTTGAATTAATTTTTGTATAAGATATAAGGAAAGATCCAGTTTCAGCTTTCTACATATAGCTAGCCAGTTTTCCCAGCACCATTTATTAAACAGGGAATCTTTTTCCTGTTTCTTGTTTTTGTCAGTTTTGTCAAAGACTGTCAAAACAGCATGGTACTGGTACCGAAACAGATATATAGATGGTTGTAGATGTGTGGTGTTATTTCTGAGGCCTCTGTTCTTTTCCCTTGGTCTATATATCTGTTTTGGTACCAGTACCATGC